TTCTCATCTCTCCCTGACAATGAGAGCAGAAGGGAGCCAATGGGAAGGAATAACCTTGCTTCCCAACTATTCTACATACCATGGCCAAATGCAATCATTGTGGCTGGATGACAGTAAAGCAGTCCCTTTACTTTCCAAGCTTACCTGTTTAGGGGCAAGTATTCCAACTGAATCTTATCACTAGCCTGGATTTACTGTATCTGGGATTACTTTGTCTTTAAAAGCTTTTGAAGTTATTCAAATGGGGGTAGTTATTATCTGCCTGCCCTCAGAACAATGAGAACTGATATGTTTAAATTCAAGCCACTGTTTCTCCGGCGCTGTTTGTAGTGATAATGGTTTTTCCATTTTAAACTTTCTAGATGCAGAGTTCTTTTAGATCAATTGTTCCGTGGAATTCAGGGCATGTTCACGATTATAGGCTGGCTGAGCCTGTCTTTGTAGAGAAAGCTGTTCTACTAGTAGGCCAGTACAATTGCCTTTGCTCTTGGGTTGCTAAAATTATGGGTCACTCGAGCAGGGTTCAAAATTATTCTGTCATTGCAGAAGGCAGTGGGAAAGCACTTTATAATTGCTATCAGGAAGAGTTGTGGTTCAGTGGCACAATCCCAGGTTCAGTGTCTTCCTCCTATCTGAAAACCCTCGAGAAATGCTCTCAGCCAGTCAGATAGTACTGAGTTAGATGCACCAATAGCTATCAATAGCAATTCCTATTGATAAGAGCAATTCCTTTCATAGGCCTTTCTAGCCAATCAGAATGAGGCCATTGCCACCAATTCCTTTGACAGTCTTGTGGCATCTCAAAACAAGCCTTTGTGTATGATGATTCCGTGATAAATATGGCATCTGAAGCCGAGACAGGAGTGTGTCTGATCTGATATCTAAGTGTCCCTTTCCATTACTTACAGACTGTACCAGAAAGCATTAGTAAATTAGTTACACCCACACTAGACATTGTTCTATTTTCCAACTCCCCCCCCCCCATTTTTAGTAGGTCTTTATATTTACTGCAGGGGTACTTTGACAAGCCAGGAAAAGCAGGAATGAGCCAGTTTTCTGGGTCAAGTTGCTCTCACTGCATTACACAAGCAGCTCTTTCTGAGTGAGCATTGTTCTCAGAACATATTTGTGAGGCACACTTAGACAATAATACGGAATGCTCTTTTCCACACAGAAGTTTTGCAACTAAACTGGCAGAAAGGGGAATCACAGGCTTGGTTTTAAAAAAAAAAATGCATAATAACTAAAAACCCAGTTTATTGTTTCTGTTGCTCTTACTGATTCCGTTCTTCCATTGCCAGTTCAGTGCTAGACCACTGCTCCTTCCTGCGCCAAGTTAACCCTTCACCATGCTATGGTTCCTTCTTATCTGGGATAGCTCAGTGAGGCTCTTAGTCTCTGGATTGTGGGTTCAAGCTCCACGTTGGGCAAAAAGATTCCTGCATTGGAGGGGGTTGGACTAGATGACCCCTTGTAGTCTCTTCCAACTCTAAAATTCTATGAGTCTTGTGTCAGGATCACCCAGGGGCGCTGGCATGGAGAGAAACCACTGGATGGCCTTTAACAATGTGGCTTGCACCTCCCATGTCATCAGAATACAGTGGTACCTCGGGTTACATACGCTTCAGGTTACAGATGCTTCAGGTTACAGACTCCACTAGGCCAGAAATAGTACCTCAGGTTAAGAACTTTGCTTCAGGATGAGAACAGAAATCGCGCCGCGGCAGCGCGGTGGCAGCAGGAGGCCCCATTAGCTAAAGTGGTACTTCAGGTTAAGAACAGTTTCAGGTTAAGAACCGACCTCCAGAACAAATTAAGTTCTTAACCCGAGGTACCACTGTATTGAAAGAAGGGTGCCATTCAGAGTAAATCATTCTATCCGTGGTTATAGGTCTAGATCAGTGTTTTACCTTTGAAGTTCCTGGATGTGGCATCAAAGAATAAATTTCTTTCTTTCTCCCCAAGCCTGTTCTTCTCTCCCCACCCTAATCTAAGAGCATGTTGTTAAACAGCCCTGAAAAGATTTCATCCTCAAGTAACCCAGCTTTTGCCTCAAGCCCTCTGGTGACAGCGATTATTTTGCTTGTAGAACAAAAAAGCTTCAGGGAACATGTAACCGGAGAACTGGGATAGAGAGCATTGACCGACAGTAACCCCAGAGCACGGGTATTCGGGAGAAAAATAGGAAGTGTTTCTTTCTTCATAACTTTTCTTCTCCAAACCAGACTGGTGTCCTGCCAAATCAGGGTCTGAGCAATACAATCGCAATGCTTAGCGGCATAAAGGCAGGGGCAGGGTGTGGGAAGAGGCTGCAAACCACAAAATGCAGAAAACACAGTGCCTCCGCCTTCCTTTCTCGTCTTCCACCCGCCATTCCATTGCGGCGGAGATTTGTGGAGTTCTCCTTCCATCCCTCTTGGCATGCTGAGTGTCTCTTGTAAGCGAGCCGGCTAATTAACATTTTTAAAAAGCATCAGACCAGCATCGGCTGCCCCCTTGGGATCCTGCAACGGCATTTGGGAATGTGAGCTTCCAAAGGCTGCGTTGGCATCGCATTGCCTCCTCTTTACCCCAGAAGGTGTTCTGCGCTTTGCACTTGAGCTCCTGAAGCCTTCGCAGCCACGTCGTTTTCCGCAGCTCAAAAACGCACGTACTGAGAATGTGCCTTCATAACATGTTAAAGAACAGGGTTAAAGCTTTCGAGCTACACAGGTCTCCTCATAATACAGTGGTACCTCGATTAAGAACCTAATTCGTTCTGGAGGTCCGTTCTTAACCTGAAGCACCACTTTAGCTAACGGGGCCTCCCGCTGCCGCCGCACGTTTCTGTTCTTATCCTGAAGCAAAGTTCTTAACCTGAGGTACTATTTCTGGGTTACTAGAGTCAGTAACCTGAAGTGTCTGTAACCTGAGGTACCGCTGTATTTGCTGTTTGAGGGAAAGGGTGGGAATAGTTGTGCCCATCCATAATGCAATTGTGCCCACCAAGAGTATATAATTTAGATCAGTTTGTTTCATAGCATATTCCAAGGATTCTTCAATATGTTCATCAGTACTGGTGCCATATGTCTTACTCTGCTTTCCTTTGGACCACATCAGCGATGCCAAGAGGGGGGGTCTTGTCACCTGAGCAGCCCGGGACCTCCATACACACTGCCCAGGCTTGTGCCCTAGGGGAAGTCACTTCTGTGCTGCTAACGCAGTAGTTTGACTTCACCCTTGGAGGCGTACTCTGTTGTCTCTTGAGACAGATGGATGACAACAACAACAACAACTGGTGGATGAAGTTCCCCAAAATACATCTTTCCCACTGCCACAAACAACGTGTGCGAATTATGGGAGGGGAGAAGCAGAGGCAGCCCTGAATAATACCCACAAGTCCAATCACTGACTCCTCCAAATTTTAGGCAGGACCTCCCCCCCCCATTCATAGTCTTGTAAAAAGTGTTGTTTTACTTCAAGGTTGTGTTGTATCTGTGGTTCCTACTTCTGTTATCTTTTTTTTTTTTACTGTAATTTAGTTGAATGCATTGTTTGGTCTAAATGATATTGTGACTTTCAATGGCTGTAAGCTTCCTAGACACTGGAAGGGTAGGAGAGAAGTTTTTATATTGTATTGTGTTTTTAATATTCGATTGAGAGCCTCCCAGAGTGGCTGGGGAAACCCAGCCAGATGGGTGGGGTATAATTATTATTATTTGTATGAAACAAATAAATAAATAGGAACAAAATGAAAACAGCAGCTGGAGGGGTACACATCATAAAGTTGTTGAGGTTTTTTTTAAGGTCAAAGTTGTTGTGTTTGGTTTGGTTTGGTTTGTTCAAAGCTGTTGAGCTTTTTTTGGGTACATCTGCCCCAAAATCAATTGTTTTGCCTTTTTTGGAAATTTATTAAAAAAATAATAATAACACCCCTTCTCGGACATCTTGCCTAATTTGCCAAAAATCCACCTGGATGCCATTTTTCGGTCTGACAGCCCTATGGGAGGACTGTAACTCTCTCTTGATAATCCCCGTTGATATCTAAACACCTAACATGGGTGGATCTGAGTGAACAAAGCAATGCAGAGCTGGGGACAAGACTGACCCCTTCAGCCAGGTACATGGCCTTAGAGCAAGGGAAGCAAATATGGCACCTTCCAGATGTTGTGGCCTACAGCTCCCCAGCTGGAATGGCCAATGGTAGGGCATGATGGGAGTGTGGTCCTCAACAAATGGAGGGCATCACATTGGCTGTCCCTGCCTTAGAGGAGGATTGTGGAGAGATCTAGACAAGGGAGCAATGGGAGGTTCTCAGAAGAGGTATGGGGTCAAATCATGCCTCCCCGGAGCTTCCAAAACAGTAGCTAAAGGGGCTCATTGCAAAGGTTAGAGAGGAAGCATCCCATGCAGTGTACCACCAAACACTATACTCTCCATAGTTACAGGATTTATCCTCAATGTATATTATACAGTGCGAAAGGGAAGCCCGGGCTCACATGCCATTTTATTGTTGCAGTCTGCAAATCCAAAAAATGGTGTAGAAATGTTTTCTGTGCATAAATTATATAAATAAAATGTGACAATGTGAACTGGCTAACCCACCTGAGAGGCCTGAGAAGTATATTCATGAAATGTGAGGGGCTGTAGCTGGAAAGAAATGTCACCCCTCTCTTCCCATGATTGCAAATAAATATTTTCTACTTATGCACCAGAGCAGGGGAGCAGGTTCTGGCTAATGGACACATTTCGGTTACAAAGTGGTGTGATCTTTATTCCAGTTTTAACTGTTACACTTTCCCCCTGAACAGCCCTAGCAGTAGTTTGGTAAGGGGAATGATACATAGTTTTCTGTTGGACAATTCCTAGCCTCTCACTCCCCCAATTCCATCCAAATTATAGCCTTCAAAGGGGAAAGTGCATGATAGCTGAACATGTTTGATGCTGTAATACTGACATACCCTCTCTGAGTTTCGATTTGTTTTGAATTTCGAAAAAATGGTTTTCTTGTTACCTGGCAGGTGTGAAAGTCCGGGATTTCCTGGTTGACAATGAGACCTTCTCTGACTTTCTCCATCACAATGCCTCCCTACCAAAGTTTGTTGTAGACGAAATCCTGAATGCCGAGGTTAACCTCCAACAGGTAAGAAGCGTATACTGTCAATGAACATCACTTGGGAAGAAAGTCTACAGTTCTCCATTTGAATGTCATAAATTGTGAATGTGATGTGGAAAAGATGATTTAGCTCGAGTCCCAGGAGTGATTTATAGATTTATAACCTCTGGTACATGTTTCTAGGTCATTACATCTGGCTACCGGATAAGTGTGAAAGACCTTTGCAATTCAACCAAGCTGTCAAAGTTTGTCAACATCCAAAACCCAGTGGTAGATGTTCTCAGCAGTGCCTTGATTTGCTCCATTCCTAAGGAAAAGCTTTCTGCCGCAGAGAGAGTGTTTCAGGACAATCTAGATGTCATGAAGCCATTTATGGTGAGTGTGTTGGCTTGAGTATTTTGAATTGTATTTACCAAGGTATAGTGCAAGTTTTTAAATCAGCAGAATATCGTGGTTCACATAATATAGCATACAATGTTACAAAACAAAATGCAAACAACCCTTTCCACATTACATTTATCATTACACCTGGATTGCAGGAGACCTGTGGCCAAAGATGCGACTGGTTATTGTCAAATCACTGTGTGATTCATAATCTCTATGCAAAAAGAAGGGAGAGAGTCCAAAGGTCAAAATTTTTCTACTTCTCTGTGGTCTAGTATCTATAAGCTAAATAACAGTGGTACCTCGGTTAAGTACTTAATTCGTTCCGGAGGTCCGTACTTAACCTGAAACTGTTCTTACCTATGTAGCTGAAGAACGACTGATCGAAGAAAGCTAAGAGAGGGCGACGATCTGTCTGAGCGATGCCTGACGAGAGACACGATTTCTATTCTGTTCCCATCCGCGGAAGCATAGAATCGTTCTTAACCGAGAGCGCGCTCATATCTGGTTAGCTGGTGTCTTAACCTGAAGCGGATAGAACCTGAAGAACCTAAATGTGCCACTGAGTACACCGCACTGTATTATAGGCGATCTGTGTACTAACAGATCACCGTAACCATGGTTTTAAAACCGAGAGCAGTTTTGCAAAGCACTATCCCTTCCCTCCCCTCCTTCCTTCCTTTATTGGCATTTGCCATGGTTTAGAATGACATGTGTTTTGATGTTAGCCAGTTTTATAGTAACCATGGCCCCATCATAACTAGAGTTTGAAACCTTGATTCGAAGTGTGTTTGCAAATCATATTTATGAGGGAACCTGGTTAGCATATGTCCAGCTGTAATTCTAAACCTTAGTTAATACTGACAGAAGAATGGAGGAGTTATTCGCTTCAGAAAATGGAAGAGGGAGGAGGATAGATTTCAGATATCTGAGACTAGCTTCAGATATGTGAACCATGGTTTGGGGGGAACCAGGGTTACATTTGCACCAGTTCCCAATTTAGCATAATAAGGTTGTGTTGCTATTTATTTATTCAGTGTCATCAATGGTAACATAAGCAAAACAGACTAATCCCTGCTCCCAAAGAACTGACAGACTTAACTTTTCTTAAGCAGCCTATGAAATGGCGTGACTCTGTCCATCAGATTTTTTTCACCGCCTTTTCAAATAGAGCTGTATGACAAAGGGGCAACTTGCTTCCCGCAGGAGCTGTTACTTTCCTTAGCTATAAAGCTATGTTAAAAAGCTAAAGTGGGAGCGAGATGTTCAGAAATGATGGGAGCAACAGAAAGCAACACTCTTATGGACCAGCATGTGAATGCCTGGCTAAGTGCCAAACAAAAGCCCTTTTTAGTTTTGATATATCTTGGGGAATACAGAATTAAGCCTCAGTTGTTTGGCTATTCGCCTAGCCAAAAGCATAGGATATCTGACACTGGAGTCATATTTCTGCTCTGTCTGGAATGTAAAGCTCAGCTCTTTTTAAACTGTTATTGTTTTTCACTAAACTGCTTGGACTCTTATATTTTTCCTTGTCATTTGCTTGCTTGCTTATCACCTTTTCTCCAGCCTAAGGGTAACTGAGAGCCGCTGTAGTATAATAAGGCAGCAAGCCAGACAGCGAATGATGAAAGCTAATAAAATTCCAGCTCATTGAAAACCAATCAGCCTAAATTTTAGACTCCTAAGGACCGTGACCAGAAAGAAATCTTGCTTAGCTAGCCCTTCTAGGGAGAGATTTCCAAAGGCAGGGTCTTTTTGGTTGTGGTGCCTGTCTGGCTTCAGGTGACATGGGATCTCGGAGAAGGACATCTGAGAAAAATGTTAATGCTTGACAGGATTATGCAGGAATCTCATTGCACTAGCACTCAAGGGACGGAACATTTTCTTGGGTTTTTTCTGTATGGCAATAATAGTGCCTAATTGAATTAAGTAGTTGTTTGTTACATTGCAATGCTTGGAAATGTTTTCAATATATGTATTATAACTTGCTTAACTTTCCAAATGAAAGGCTTGGGTTTAATGTGGTGAATATAAACCCTTTTCTATAAATCATAGTGCAAATTTAGGAGCAGAGCTAGAAGCCAGAAATTAAAGAAGCTGAGCTTCCGTTTGCAGCTAAATGAAAAGCTACTTTCTGATCAGTAAAAGAAACTTAGGGAAATCTCCTGATGTTGCAAGTCAGCAATATTATTTATTGGGAAACCAGTGCCATGGGAAATGTGAATGACGTCTGTGTGTTTGTCTCATGCCTGACACTGTTGAAGCTAAGAAGATTTGAGGTTGATCAGTGGGAGACCTTGGGGAGTCTTACTTAAACTTCTCTGTGCTTTCTAAGGAAATGTAGGATTATAAGCATCGTAAATAAATAAAATTATGGTCCAGGAACCTAGAATAAAAGGGAGGGGAAAGGAGACACAGGAAGAACAGCTTTGATGAGTCAGACCAATGGCCCACTATCCGTCATGAGCTACGCGTTACCAAACACATGAGTGGAAAACTACCCTCAGTCATGAGACGTTAGCAGTCACTTCCCATTACTTTATTGCCAGGACCAGTAGGAATAGACTACTGGTTTAGGAATAGGGTTTAGGAATAGACGGTGGTAGTGATTTATATGAGCTTTTGCTTATTAATTCATTTATTCCCTTCTTTTCAGCTAAGGTTGACTCCCAAAGTCACTACAATTAAAATCCATCATGCATTGCCAAGCCAGACCCAGATACTTGTGTCCCATGGGTCAAGCTTCCCTACCCAAACCTAGGTGGCTCTCGGCTTGTTCTAAGTAACAGGGACAGTGAACAATGATGATGATGATGATGATGATATTGTTGTTGTTATTTGTTATTTGTTATTTCTATACTGCTCTTCATCCAAGCACCACAGGGCGATTTACAATATAAAAACCACAAAAATACACAACATAGCAACAAAACAAATAACTCCCCCAATGATATTCCAAGCCTTCTCACTATTTAAAGTATATAATATTCACCTGCCCCTCACCTCTAGATACTGCTTATTTAGATACATGAACAGGACATAAGGAGATTTCTAAAATTATGAAGAACAGGCCAGGAGTATCCATTATGTAGAATGAGGCAGTGGCCATGTGTCTTACTTTAGAGAGGTTGGCCCTCTGTTTGAAGGTCCTATTTGAAGGGCTGTTAGGTCCAAGTATGGTTTAAAGGGGCTGGACCCTAAGAAGGGAGAGCAGGGGCCTTGGATGATGCCCTTCAACAGTTGCTATTCCAACAGCAAACTGGGCAGGCAAACATGTCACCTGGTCACAGCCTTCCATACGATGGTGAGATAGATGCATTGTACCTCGGGTTAGGAACTTGATTCATTCCAGAGGTCCATTCTTAACCTGAGGTACCACTTTAGCTAATGGGGCCTCCTGCTGCCACCACACAATTTCCGTTCTCATCCTGGGGCAAAGTTGTCAACCTGAGGTACTACTTCCGGGTTAGCGGAGTTTGTAACCCAAAGTGTTTGTAACCCAAAGTGTTTGTGACTCGAACCGTTTGTAACCCAAGGTACCACTGTATTTCTATTTAAATATTAGCAATTATGTCTGTGTTTGCTTCTATGCATATGAGTTCCCATATAGAAATGTTATGCAAATCTGTGTCCATTTCTTAATCCTCCACATTTGGTGATACCTTTCCTCTTCTAGTGAAAGCTTAAGTGGGCAGACTACTGCCTCAGGTGGTAGATGTAAAAAGACTGGAGAGCAAATATTGCTGTGTTGTGCTACATGGCCTGCCCTCTATTCTCAATCTATCCTGGTGCCCTCAAGTGCATTGGAAGGTACTGTCTGATCAGCAGTGTTGAAATAAGATTGAACTCGCAACCTGATTAGCTTTTGTGCAGGCACAAAAATGATTCAGGCCAGCTCTGGAATGGAAGGACAGCTGTCATCTCCAAATAAACGTATGATGATAATAATAATCATGTGTTCATAAACCAGTAAGGTAGGCCGTTAGGGTGTGACGAACTATGAATGATTAAAAAAGGTTGGAGGGATATTTCTCATGAATAATCTTGACCCAGTCTTTTATTATATTGTGTGGGCGGCTGTTTCAGATGACTGTGATGGTTGTGATTCATGCTTCATTCACAGGCCACAAAGGAACTTGGAACAGCTCTGAAAGCCCTTGTGTTGTCTGCATGTTTTCTAAATTATTTGGGTGACATTTTAGTGTTCCCGTAGCATGAAAGAAACACTGAACAATACCAGCTGGAAATAAAGGCTGAACACCCAACACATGCAGATGGTCATTGGTACAAACTGCAACCATCTCCAGGTAGAGTTAAGGGGTGAAGATGGCACCAGGGCAGGCAGCTAGCTCTGAAGCTCTGGAGAAACACAAATTTAATTGAGTTTTAATGGGTTCTAATTTCTTTTAAAACAATTATTTTATCAACAATTTATGTTTCGGTGCTGGAAAATAGAGCTATGTGGATCTGTAATGCCAATGGCAATTAAGTTTTAATAAGCTCTGTGGTGCTATCGGGTGATACAGTGTTTTCGGAGTGGTGGGAAGCCAGTGGACACATAAATCTCAAAGGTAGAGCTAGGGGAGGTGGCTTATTTCTGAAACCCTGGAGAGCTGTGGCCAATTAGCTTCGACTCTACAATAGTGAACCAGATGAGCCAATGATCTGACTCAGTATGAGCTTCTCCTGTCCTAGGTGTCATCTGTATTGTAACTCACATGCTATAGTATACATAGGCGTCTTTGTCCTCGTAGCTGAGCAAATGGGAAAAATATGTGCCAAAACTCATGCTGTGTAACCTGAATCAAGCCATTAAATATGGTGTTCTTTCTTTCTTTCTTTCTTCTTCTTCCTTCCTTCCTTCCTTCCTTCCTTCCTTCCTTCCTTCCTTCCTTCCTTCTTTTCCAAAATGAGAATACGAGACACAGAGCTTCCACAGTTCTGCTTGCCCCACAACTTGTCCCCTAGGAAACCTGCTTTTTACCATTGAGTCAGAGCAAATGTCAAATGGGTTTTCCGTGGATTGACAGGTGCTCCCATTTAGTGCTAAAGAGCGGGCTTTCCCCAGGGAAAGTGGCAGGGCAAATAAAAAACCACTTGGACCCTGCCTAGGAAGCACAGGGCAAGTGTAAAACCTCTCAAATCTGTGCTTTCCAGGCACAGGACTTTTCACACGTGTGGACAAGCCTGCACAATAACGTGATGTCCCGAGGGTGAAGTAACTTTGGCTGACTGTCATATCCTGGGGGCTCCATTTCATATGTCCTTGATGGAATTGATTAACGATTGAGGTGCAAAGGCCCAATCTGAGGCACATTGCCAAAATGTGTATCTTGCAGGCATTTGTTGTGATTAATTTATTTTTTATGTCCCACAGTAATTGTGGTAGTGTTTTCAGTGCAGTGTAAGCAGCCAGAGTTTCTTGAAACAAATGGATTTGTGCTTTCCGCTTGCTTAGCTAATGCCCAGGCCCATTTAATGTCATTGTTTAGAGCGGTAATAATGGGAAGTGAGACGGCCAGAGATGCTGGTTCTCATGAGGAATTTTCAGAAACACAGGAGGAAGGAGGGGGGGTGCCTTCCTACTCTTGCCAAATGGCATCCTTTTTTGAGTGAGTGCTGGCTTCGCTTGTGATCCTTGAACTACACGCATGAGAGATGCCCTTGCTGATACAAAATGCCACTATTCATCCTCCTCTGAGTACTAAATGCAAATGATGCTGCTGATTCCTATCTGCTGTGTTGCAATTAAGATTCTTCTAAAACTAAATCCCCATTTGTCATTCCAGAAAGGAATCTCCTCCAACTCCACTCTTCAGGATCTCAAGGAAACCATGGAGACTTTCATGGAGAGCCTCGGGAAGCTCCTTAAGGAGGTAGGCTGTGCCTTTTGTCTCGTGCCTCAGATCATTGATACAGCGATGTTCCCAGTTGAGGTATCCAAATCACTCTGAATCCTGGGCAGCTCGGTGAAGCCTGTGAGTGCATTCCTGCTGCCTCTGGGCAGAGGTTTCTGCTGTGCTGGACATCACCAAAGCATCAAGCCATTAACTTGGCTCTTTAACCAAAGATTGCTTCCCAATTCGAATTTGTGCCACGCATGCTACGTCTGCCAGAGCCAGGTGCAGGCAGCCCTTACTTATGGTGGAGGAGCCATTAGAAGAAGAAGCAGTTCAGCTCTCCCCACCCTGTTGTGGCCACACGGAAGCAGGGGCAAAGGAAGGCGTTGTGACACCTGGGGCGGGCGTCGCTACGTAGGGTGCACATGTGGTGTCGCTACGTACGACGCATGCACTGTACGTAGCGATGCTGCACATGCGCTGTATAGCAGTTTGCTGCTGCTGCTGCTCCAGTGCCGTACAGATGGTGCCAGGATCCCTCCGTCGCCGCTACAGCCGCGGCAAACCGCTAAGTACAGCGCATGTGCGGCGTCGCACGCATGCACTGTACGTAGCGATGCTGCACATGCACTGTATAGCAGTTTGTTGCTGCCGGCACTGCTCCAGCGCTGTACAGATGGTGCTGAGATCCTCTGCTCAGAGCTGCAGCCACGAACGGAGGATGCTCCACATGCGGCTGCAGCGCTGCGATTGCGACACCACTCCATGGAAGCATTCTGATATGCATGCATTTTGGGCACAGAAACACTGGAAGTTCAGTTTAACTCACACACAACAGTTTAAAGTGCTTTCGATGCATCCTAGGTATGCACGTTTGTCACCTTGTCCACATGGCATTGCTCTCATCTAAGTGGCATGCCACATGCGAGTGGCGCTGTGGTCTAAACCACTGACCCTCTCGGGCTTGCCGATCGGAAGGTTGGCAGTTCTAATCCTTGCGAGGGAGTGTGCTCCTGTTGCTCTGTCCCAGCTCCTGCCAACCTAGCAGTTCGTAAGCACACCAGTGCAAGTAGATAAATAGGTACCAGGAAGGTAAACAGCGTTTCCGTGCGCTCTGGTTTCCGTCACAGTGTTCTGTTGCAACAGAAACAGTTTAGTCCTGCTGGCCACATGACCCGGAAAGCTGTCTGCGGACAAACACCGGCTCCCTCGGCCTGAAAGCGAGATGAGCACCGCAACCCCATAGTCACCTTTGACTGGACTTAACCGCCCAGGGGTCCTTTACTCTTTACCTACCCCCCCCCAATTAATTTGGATCTTCCTGATCTGCAGATGTTATAAATGGGGGGAAACGATGTAAAGTGGGCTGCTAGTGGGACTGGTTCTGATACACACACACACACACACACACACGCATGTTGTTGTTGTTTGTAACCAGCTGCTTTGTACAAGCCTGGTATATCGTAAAACTTGTAGCTCGAGAATGAAATTAAAAATTGGCTGTGCACATAGGTGAACAAGTATCTGCACGCATGCCCACAATGGGCCTCAAGTGTCCAGAACTCTGGGAGGATGGGAGAATACTAACTGCTGGGAGGAGATAACAATACACAATGTGAATTCATCCTATCAAGCCTGTCCACTCGTGTGGGCAGGAAATACTGAGCTCAATGGAATGTGCTCAGTAGTGCACAGAAGTGCACATGGAAGAACCAGATCTGGGCAACCCAGATGCGCATTGGTACTCTGGTGTGTACCCAGCCAAAGAGACAACGGATCTGAACTTCCTTGTCGAAACTGCTTTTGATAGTGGATGGTTTCTTTGGAAATTCGGGTTCATTGTTTTGGCTTGGGAGCTTGGAGCTCCCTTTCCAAGCCCTTTGAATAAATGAAGTTATGCCGTGGGTTCTTTCCTGAGCAAATGAGCTGTCTCTTTTCTTCCGCCTAACCTTTTCTGCAAAGTGCTTTTTGTTGTTGTTGTTGCTTTTTGCCATTCTCAAAACGTTTTCTCCTCAAGTTTGAAAGTTGCCATTTTAAACAAGTAACGAGGGGCAGAGATTCAGCTACACCTATTGTTCTTTCTCTCTTACTGTTCGCTGGTGAAGTTTTTCCTCCCTGAACTATAATAACCTCTCTGCGGAGCTGCGGTGAGGTCACTCGAGGTTGTTAAGAACTGTACTCCTGGGAGGAGCGGGGGCAATATCCCACCCCCTTTTCCCTGTTGCTTCAGCCACTTTGTTTCCTAGGAGTAGATTGCCCTCTGTTGAGTTATAGAACCTGCTGTGTTCTTTTTGGCTGGCAAATGGAAATTAGCAGAAAAATCTGGTTGGAACCAAGATAAAACTGCAGCCACTTTTAACTATCCTAAAAGTTTGCCTATGAGTTTCTGGTTACAGCTGTTTCCTGTTACATCATTTGAGCGTCGGTGATGTTTCATTCTTTCTCCTTTTCTCTCTTTTCTTTTGGTGCGGAGTTAAAAAAAACACCAAAAATCAAAACCATGTGACATTCTCTTTGCTGATGTGGCTGGATTGCTGAGGAATGTGACTTTTCTTTGGCAGTCTTCCCAAACAGCAGTCAGTACCTTTTCTTGCTGTCCTATTCAACTTCAAAACAAAGACAGCTTGGAGGCTTTGCATGAAAACCGCTCTGAACTGCATGACCAAAATTTGCTTTTTAATGTCATGGCTCGCTAAATCCTCTCTGACATGTATGTATAGGAATAGAGACATTAAGTCCAGCATTTTTTCTCTCCCTAGGTTAGTGTTGTGTTAGTACGGCTGCCATCTGTCGGGGGGGGGGAGGGGCAGTGCAGGGCAACCAAGTTTCCAGATGCCACTGATATGCATTTACTAATCTATTTAAATATATGCAAATTTTAACCACTGTACTTTGAATGGTTGCAGCTTAGCTATATAAAAAACAAAAAAAGAAAACATGGACAGGTGGCAGCCATAACCAGACAAGTCCATATGAAATTGGATTGGATGTAAAACTGGGCAGCTGGGAAGAGGCGGCTTGTTCCGAACGCATCTCGTGAGGCTTTTATTGCAGTAAAAGTTGTTCTGAAATTCTTTCTTCAGGAAACGCTGATGTTTAGAAACCGTTGAGTTTTGTGCCATTGGTGCAGCTCTTAAATCTGGCTTGCACAGCAGCCTGTGAACTGGACTTCCTGTGTTCAGAAGTCTCTGGGTGACTGTAGTAGTCAGAATGGATAGCGGCAAACAATCATGGGGAACTCCCTTTCAGCTTCCTAATACTGTATGCTACTGCACACTCTTGTTCATATACTCCCCACCCCCCACCCCGTAAAATGCCTAGATAAAAAAGGACAGGGCATCTTCGCCTTTAGTAGTTGTGCAAAAATGGGAATTTCAGCATGTGTGACTTCTTGTGATAAGAAAGTTATACCTAAGAACTAGTGTCTGAGTTTATTTTCCCCTCCTTTCCCCCTTCTCCTGTTTTTGAACTATACCGTTATAAACCCACTGCCTTGAGTGTTGTCAAGCAATGCAAGAACTTCGCACACTTTTCTCTAGAATGTTCCTGTCACGTCTTGTACAATCACTCTTATGTCAGTTCTCTGGAAAGACCTTGGCTATTTCTCTTCCTTTTAAATTTAGGTGGCAATTGGGATGTCAGAACTATCAGGACGCCTGAATGTTCTTCGACTTCATGTCATGCCCATGTGATTTTTGAGCAGTGGCGTATAAGCCTTAAAAGAAAGAGGAACAAAGCAGAGTTTAGGACACAGAAAGCCTAACTATGGTGTCATATAACCAGTGCTATTTTTCTGGAAAAAGAGGTGCCAGAACTCACCGTGAACACCTCCCTCTTAGAATGGCAGTGGCACCTGAGAGGTCCTGGAATTGAGTTCCAGCAATTTCAGCAATAGGAGCCTTCTTTCTCATCCTGCGCCATCTCATAGGAAGGTCCTGAGGATAAAATGGATTAGCCAAGAGTTTCCTGGAGGAAGAGAGTAGGATACAAATAAAACAAAGGGAGTTGTGGGTTACATTTGGCTGCTGCAGTACTTTAAGATCTAATTTCATAGGATTTCAGCCAGTGTGGTGTAGTGGTTAAGAGCGGTAGTCTGCTAATCTGGGGAACCGGGTTCGCGTCTCCGCTCCTCCACCTGCAGCTGCTGGGTGACCTTGGGCCAGTCATACTTCCTTGAAGTCTCTCAGCCCCACTCACCTCACAGAGTGTTTGTTGTGGGGGAGGAAGGGAAAGGAGAATGTTAGCCGCTTTGAGACTCCTTAAAGGGAGTGAAAGGCGGGATATCAAATCCAAACTCTTCTTCTTCTTCTTTCCCTGCCAATGGGTCAGAGTAGACCCATTAAAATTAATGGGCCTAACTTAGTCAATGGGACTACGATGATTAAAAATTAGTTGAATACTACCCAGTGGCTCCAATGATTCTTTTCCCCCTGGACGTGTGACTTCATCATTGTACTCATGAAATGCTCTCCTAACATCACATGAGTTGCAAATTCCTTTCCAGATATTTGGATATGCACCGTACAATGTAGAAGCACCTTTTTTTTAATTGTTCAGTAGAAGTTCATCTTCTGCTGTATTGACTGTGATTCAAAAAAATACCATTGATTGCGATTAAAAATAATGGAGCTAGTTCAGGCTCACACATTCTGTTTGCTGGCGAAATCAAACTGGGAATACTCCAGTGGCCTTTAACTAAAGTTGGGTCCAAATTATAGACAGACATAACCCCAAGAAAATTAGTCCTTAGAAACAGGAGAGAAGGGCTTGCTCATTAGTTTGGCCTGTTGATATCCTGTCTTCATACACTCCACCTGAAAGGAAGGTGACTCTTCTGGGGTTAGAGAATGAATGGATTTTGCTCCCCAAGAAGAATACATTCCACCCCTTCCATGGAATGGCGGGGAATTCAATGGAATGCAAGCAGTTTGCACAAATAGCAACTGGTAGGCAAGCAGTTTCTGTTCCTTGGACACAATAGGAAATCTAAGGTTTGCTCGGGATGCTTTTGAACCAGTTGATCTTTGGTGTAATATTTGTTACCAGTTTTACAGGGAAATGGATCGAGTTTTGATCTGTAGGTGAACCCCTGTTTTTCCCCTCCCCTTTTGAACTAAAGCTCGGGAGCATGAAAAGCTGGAGTGACATGCGGCAGGAGGTGGTGTTCCTAACCAGTGTGAACAGCACAAGTTCTTCTACCGAGATTTACCAGGCGGTATCCCGAATAGTTTGTGGACATCCTGAGGGAGGGGGATTGCAGATCAAGTCTCTCAACTGGTATGAAGACAGCAACTACAAAGCTTTGTTTGGAGGCAACAATACTGACGAAGATGCTGCCGATTTCTATGACAACTACACAAGTAAGTGGAACCCGGTGCATGCTTATGAATTTTGGGCAGATCCTTTGGATTGCAGTCCTTTTTTATTTTCAAAGATGCAGGAAGCTACAGTATGATGATGGGTGGATAGCACTTGTCTATACTGGGTGTGCTGTCTAGGATTAAGGTGAGAAAGATACTGTGCACCTAGCTCATCTCCCATAGGAGCCAGTGTAGTATAGTGGTTAAGAGCGGTAGTCTCGTAATCTGGGGAACCGGGTTCGCTTCCCCACTCCTCCACCTGCAGCTGCTGGGTGACCCTGGGCTAGTCACACTTCTCTGAAGTCTCTCAGCCCCACTTACCTCACAGAGTGTTTGTTGTGGGGGAGGAAGGGAAAGGAGAACGTTAGCCGCTTTGAGACTCCTTCGGGTAGTGATAAAGCGGGATATCAAATCCAAACTCTTCTTTTCTTCTTCTTCTTTTAAACTCTTTTAAAGCACCCTACTGCAATGACCTCATGAAGAAGCTGGAGTCCAGCCCGCTTTCCAGAATCATATGGAGAGCTCTGAAACCTTTGCTTATGGGGAAGGTCTTGTACACCCCTGACACGCCAGCAACAAGGGCAGTCATGTCTGAGGTAAGATCCCAATTCCACATCGTTCAAAGGAAGGGGGGGCTTGCTTTGTACTGTTGCTGCTGGGGCTCCTTCAGCAAATGCACAAGAGGGAACTGAAAGTTTTGAGTAGGGCAGCCTTTCTCAACCTGTGGGTCCCCAGATGTTGTTGAACTACAACTCCCATCACCCCTAGCTAGCAAGGCCAGAGCTCAGGGATGATGGGAGTTGTAGTCCAAAAATATCTAGGGACCCACAGATTGAGAACCACTGGAGTAGGGGGTCAAAGCGGACTTGCCTCTTGCTGCACAGTTTGCACTTGGTCGCATTTTCCCAGTCTGGAGGAGGCTGTATTCTGGAGCTTGGAGCACCAATGTGGTTTTCCTTCCAACAATGATTCAACTCTATTACTGGCAACTTATATAGGAACTAGAGGCTGTTTCCACTTCCTGGTTCTTCTGAATGGACTCATGTGTGGTTCAACAGTTTGCTGATGTCCCTGAAGCTTCTGCCTTGCTCTCCGTCCTTGTGACTGTTGGGGTGGGTGGATCTCTGACTTGGCCAGGAAGCCAAACAAACATTGCAGAGACCTCTGCTCCTGCAGCTGGACTGCAGAGAGAGAGGGGGGGGTGGAGAGAGAGAGAAAGAAATAGATAGAAAAGAAACCTCTGCCATTGTATTTGCTAACGTTCTGAAGACTTTAAATCCTTCTCCCAAAACACTCAAATACCCCTTCAAATTGACTGCAAGTGGAATGGCAGATTTAGAAGATGGCATTTTTGCTTAGCCTTAAAGAACTTCCAGTGACAATACTGGGTTAAATGAAGCAATAACTTGGCTCAGTATAAGGTAGGGTCATGTGTGCAGCCATACTTTTTAAGTGTATACGTTATATTCTTGGGCATTTTTTCTGCCTTTCGGGAAACGTGGTTTGCACAGCAATTCTTGTCCATAAGAAGATGTTGCCGAAGGCCTGGCTGAATCCTGTGCCATTGTAACTCTGGCAGATTCTGTGCTGATATGCTGTACTGGGACGTTCTGCTCATTTATGCAATTCTGCTTTAACATTCGTAAGGTCCTCGCTCACATGCTACATTTGCTGACCTAGGCAGATGCTCAAGAACAGCTAGGTTTTATGTTCAAGCACCACAGTGCTTGATGTTTTGATATTGCAAAGCTGAAGGGGCAGAAGAGTGGAGGAAGACGTAATAAACTGCTTGACTGATGGGGGTGGGGTGGGGGAGATGTTGCAACTGGGTTCTAATGTCCAGAATTGAATCAAGGGCCGTTGATACTGAACGATAAAGGCAACACTGCTTCTTCTTAGGGCAGAAGTCAGGGAGAGCCACTCTTTTTAGCCTGTTCTGCAGGTTGTCACCTTTTTGGTTTTTTAAAATAAATTTTCAAAAGTTTAACATAAATAATAAATTTATATTTTTTCCGACTTTCCACCCCATTTTCCATGGTGTTTTTATTTCTCCCCCTCTGCTACACGCTGCTTTCAAACTCTTATACCATAACATCAATATTATTCTTCCACAAAGCAAACATCGTTAGGTTCTCTTATTTTGGCTGTTAACTTTGCCAGTTCAACATAGTTCCTCACCTTACTTATCCATTCTTCTTTGGTGGGAATTACTTTTTCCATTTTTGTGCATAGAGAACCCTAGCCGCTGTTGTTGCATACATAAACAACTTAATCATCTGGGGGGGGCACGTATTTCTGTCCCTGGTTGTCACCTTTTCGATGTCACCTTTGACCCTTTCACTATCCTGGCAGGTAAACAAGACGTTCCAGGAGCTGAGTGTCTTCCGTGATCTCGGAGGGATGTGGGAGGAGATAAAACCAAAGATAAAAGTGTTCATGGAGGAAAGCCAGGAGATGGATCTAGTTCGGGTCAGTATGCCATAACTTCTCGCTCCTCAGATAACATTGGATATTTCTTGGGAGACCAGTTTACAAGAAGTGATTTTAATCTGTTTACTTTGGTATCATGATTGGCGCTTTGGCCTCGAGCGAGTGCATGCATGTCTATGTAGTACCTCATTTCTTCTGACAAGCTTGCTTGGGCAGGGCCTCCTTGTCTGTGCAATGTGACTCTAACCTGAGATTCGGCAGGAAGGTGATTCCTTCTAGACAATAGCTCTCCCCTCTGTGATTTCCCCAAGTGCCAGGTTGGCTGATTTGTTGTGCACAGCTCAGGCAGATTCTGGCCAGCATATAAATCAGGCCTGCATCCTCTCTTCCACAGGCTGCTGTGTGTGTTCACCTGCCAAGGACATGGCCCATAATGAATGTGAAACGAGGGGCTATTCAAGTATAGGCAGGCTTCACATACTGTTATGTTGAGTTCTGCCATAATCACATTACATGGGGCTCTGAATTAGAGACAAATGTGATTAAATATTACCTCACCCGTTTTAACAGAGGAAACAGACGCAGGTCATACTGGCTCTATCCAGATGTGTGAAAAACAAGCATTGTATTTAAATAACTATTTGGAATGACAACAATAATTCATTTCAACCTTTCTTGTATTGTAATATTGCCTTTAAAAAATTCCAATACAAGGTCAGTGTGCTATTTGCTATTGGAGAGCCAGTGTGATGTAGTTTGCATTGCTGGGGGGTTGAAATTCCTTCTCAAGCCATGAAGCTTACTAGGAAGAGAGAGAAGAAAACTGTCCTGCCAGTGACCTAAAGCTCAGGATGCCCCATTAATCAAAGATACTCACCCTGGAAGCCTAATAACCTGTTCAGATCCAGATCGACCACATAACTCTTTTGTTAAATCCACTGCTTTCTTATGGAGCCTGACTCACCCACAACTTCTATGAGAAAACAGAGAAACTGTAGGGACTGTCACGTGTGAGGAGAACACCTCATTGCTGCCTGTGTACCTGCTGCCAGAAAACAAGAAGTGCCTGGCCAGCTCCCTCAGCAGATACATTTTGCAGCAGCACATATGGTCAGTTGTGACAGTGGGAGAGATGTTCAGGTGGTAGCATTCTCTAAAGACAGACTTTTTGTTTAGAGTTCACAAGAACACAAAGTGTGCTCTGTGATGTCCTGGAGAGGATGCAAGCCAGGTTCTCTGGTGGATGACCTTTCCGCCCAGCCGGATGGTGGTCTCTCTTTTTTTTTTATGGCTCCCTCCCTTTCCCATTTCTGCACAGATTAATCAGAAGGAAAACAAGTGGGTGTTGCAACATGATGTTGTGACTTGTTTCGATGTTTCAACAGGGCGTGTGCCTGTGGACTGTATCAGAGTGTTAGGGACCAAAATCTTCAGTGCTGTACAGCAGGGGAGGGCTCAAAACAACTTTTCTGTCTGGATTTTCACTTTCTGAAATATGGCAACCCTAATCCTGCCAGAGTTCTATGGAAGCATTAGGACAGTGTTCATGTGCAGTTGTTGATTTTGCTATGTTTTACTCACTTTCCATTAGCAAATTTCAAATATTTTTCTGCATACCTTCCATTTCACCCACATTTTCAGAAATTCCCTCTCCTTCTGTGTGTCCCGTTGTCCTGGCCTGCTGTTTGGAACGGGTCTTCCCCCTTCGCTGTTAAGAGGGAAGCATAATGTGTAACACAGAGCCAAAACCATCCTCATAGTTCTTCTCTATGGTCAAACTATAAACATACTAATATGACATATACGACCCCAAATTTTGGTGCCACTCCCATGGCTGTCCTTCATGGAGCTAAGCATAAGCTGGGAAATAGACATGTTGCTGATTTATGATGATACCTTCCCAAATTGGCCAACGGGGGCACCTCCGACTGCATAATGGCTGGCCCTGCAAACGTGGCCAGAGTTTGGTTACCATGGCACCTCAACTTGTTAACTGAACTCTTTGACACAGTATAAATACGGAACATGCATTTAAAAAGGGGAGGGGGGAAATCTGATATGCCCAGTTTCTGATTTGTTCCTAACTCGTTTGAAGAGCCCTGTAGCTCGCTGTGCGAGAGAGGCTCCCTCTGGCTTCATGGCATCGGAGGAACCCTGTGTTATGACGTTAATATTCCATTTATGCTTCGTTGCCTCTTTGCCTGTGCTCTCTAGACAGTGCTGGCAGTGCTTTTAACAATCGCCAAGCAGCTGAAACAAATTTCTTCCCTTGCCCCTCTCCAGTTTTCAACAGGGCCTTGTTTGTTTGCTTTCAGCAACGGCTGTCCCTTCCCTGCTGAAATGTTGCACAAGGCTGCCGCCTAGTGAGCCAAAAATAGAAATTGTGGAAAGGGAAGGCTCAGATCTGACAATGAGCAGAACAAGACCATAATAGAATCTTAGAATTGTAGAGTAGTAAGGGACCCTAAGAATCATCTAGTTCAACCCCTTGCAATACAGGAATAGGCAGCTGTCCCATATGATAGCTAACTGAGCTATCATGTGAATGTTCAGCTTACCCAGTTCAGTTTATGCCCTGTGTAGCAGTAGTGTTAGGGGGACGTGGTGCTGTGGGTAAAAGCCTCAGCGCCTAGGGCTTGCTGATTGAAAGGTCGCGGTTCGAATCCCCGCGGCGGGGTGCGCTCCTGTTGTTCGGTCCCAGCGCCTGCCAACCTAGCAGTTCGAAAGCACTCCCGGGTGCAAGTAGATAAATAGGGACCGCTTACTAGCGGGAAGGTAAACGGCGTTTCCGTGTGCGGCTCTGGCTCGCCAGAGCAGCGATGTCACGCTGGCCACGTGACCCGGAAGTGTCTCCGGACAGCGCTGGCCCCCGGCCTCTTGAGTGAGATGGGCGCACAACCCTAGAGTCTGTCAAGACTGGCCCGTACGGGCAGGGGTACCTTTACCTTTACCTTTTAGCAGTAGTGTCACTAGAGTCCTACTCAGGACCACTGTCACAAGGAAGCCTGAGGGAGCCTGGCCTCTCAGGGGTCTTCCAGGCCCCTCCTTCAGTGATCATAGTGAGCAACTGGACAGAAATACTGCCTGCAAATTTACGCAGGCAATATTCCACCCAATTGCTCATAACCAGGCAACTGAAAGTTAGGCGACAAGCAGTTTGGGCATGCCCAGAATAGTGGAATACACCATTAAATAATGAGCAGCCTTTCCCACCTAATCTGAATTCTAGTGTAGGTGTTGGAAAGAGGTTTTGTCCAGTAGCAGTAAGCCTGAGATTGAGCTGCAAGTAGGAAGACTGACAGTGACTGTGTTCTCTCGCAATGACAATCCAGACTTCTTGGCTTGTCATGGTTTACTTTGGATGAGCAGTACACTTAAGTCGGTTGCCTGATCACTTACTCCTCCCCTGGTACAAGTGTGACAAACAAATCAAGTAGTTTTGGCTTCCCATTCCATCTAAACCCAGAACTATGGTGTGTGGCTTTCTTAGTAAGTTAGCCCCAAACTGATGGCTTCAGGCTGGCCATTGATCACGGTTTGTTAGGGAACAAGAGGCCACCATTCATGGTTTGGGTGTAATGGGAAGCCAAAGCTTCTTGGTTTGTTCATCCTGCTGTTCTGTGCAAACACAGGTAATAGATCTGTGAAATGCTGTTTATGCTCTTTGTACTTCATGGTGAATTTCACTAAGTTTCTTCGCTATGTTGCTAACACCAGACGTTACTGAAGAACAAGTCCCTTTGGAAACACCACTTAATGGGTTCAAGCTGGACCGTAGAAGATCTATCCCTGTTCTTGGCAAAGAACCCGGAGGATGTTCATCCGGTGAATGGCTCAACCCGCACCTGGAGGGAAGCTTTCAATGAAACTGACCATGCTGTTCTGACTATTTCCCGCTTCATGGAAGTGAGTCTCATATTTACTAGTGTTTTGATCTTGTTCATTATTATTGGGGCTATTCCTTTTCTCTCTCCAAGTCAATTCAGAAAGAATAATTTCTGCAATAGACTGCAGAACAGAAACTGGTCCTAAGAGATACACAAGGCCATTTTTCAGGATTTGGGTGGTGGGGGAAGAGCACTCTCAGAAAAGATGTCATCAGTGGGCCTCCTTAGCTGGCCAAATGGACTAGAGCTTAGGTGTCCCTAAGAGTACCCAGTCCGCTGAGCCCACATCTTTTTTGGGGGAAAGCTACATTTCGACTTGATGATGTAAGTCAAAGTCAACTCCACCATTCTTGATCTTAGTCTTGACACTATGATCGCTGCACCACATTGGCACTGTAGCATTTAATCGGACAGAAATGGTGCATGCTTCTTATTTCAGTGTTTGTGCAAATATTTGCTTCTCAAAGAAACTTCAGCCCAGGTTCTGATTCATTTTGTCCATCGTGGTTGCAGTGTGTCAATCTGGACAAACTGGAAGCCATGCCTAGTGAAGTGCGGCTTATCGACAAGTCCCTGGAGCTGCTGGATCAGAGGAGGTTTTGGGCAGGCATCGTTTTCCCCGAAATCGCTCCTAGCAGCGTGAAGTTGCCGCAACATGTCAAGTACAAGATAAGGATGGACATCGATAGCGTGGAGAGAACAAACAAAATTAAGGACGGGTGAGCAGTCCTCAAAGAGGCCTTGGTAGGTTCGCGATTAACAGGAATGGGTGTGAGAATTCTGACCCAACTATTGTTTTGCTTTGGTGCTATAGGTACTGGGATCCAGGTCCTCGAGCTGATCCTTTTGAGGACATGCGCTACGTCTGGGGAGGCTTTGCTTACTTGCAGGATGTGATAGAGCAGGCGATCATCCGTACTGTGACCGGCTCCGAGAAGAAAACGGGAGTCTACGTTCAGCAGATGCCCTACCCCTGTTATGTGGATGATGTGTAAGTGACAGTCTCTGAGTGAGTGGTCCCCTGGCGTGGCTGACTCTGCTTAAGTCAGAGTGGACCTGAGTTTTAGGGTGGCAGATTTTGGAGAAACGTGAGCTGGTTCTTCACCCGACTGCAGAGGCAGTGACAGGAAAGAACCTCCATGATAGGGTTTGGGAGTCTTCTTCAAGGGGTGACATTTTATCAAAAATGCCACTTCCTAGGGGAGGGCAAGCTTCTCTATAAAGCCTCCATGGGTCATCTTTGAGGAAGCTTTCAAGATGGTGGCAGGTTAGCCTCCTAGAGCAGCTCATATTTCTTGGGTCCAAGATAGCGCTGGAGGGGGAGGAGAGGGCAATCTAGATTCTGTTTCCAGCAGTGGCTGAACAGATGGCTCTGAAACCAAGCAGAAATGGTCTCCCCCTTGTTTTCCCCAGCATTCAGAACATCGACTTTCTGTTTAGCTATTATGGTAGCCACTCATAGACAAATTCTCATTCTTTAGAAAAGCTTTGTAAGCAGGCAGGCAGGCAGGCAGCCGCCATCGAATCTTGAAAGGTGAATTACACACTGCATGGCGAAGTATTTCTTTTGGTCTGCCTTAAACTTGTTACCAATAAACGATAACCCCAAGTCTTGGCCTTCCTCTGGTTTCCCCTCTGCAGATTCTTGCGTGTCATGAGCGGCTCCATGCCCCTCTTCATGACTCTGGCTTGGATCTACTCTGTGGCCGTGATCGTCAAGGGCATTGTGTACGAAAAGGAGGCCCGCCTGAAAGAGACCATGAGGATTATGGGCCTAAACAACGGCACCCTCTGGCTCAGCTGGTTCATTAGCAGCCTCATCCCCCTTCTCATGAGCGCTGGGCTCCTGACGCTCATCCTCAAGGTTAGCCTGGCTCCACGTTCTCACTCCTTTGGTTAATAGGATGTTTAATCCACAACTGTTGATCTACTATAGTGGCTTACCATGCAATATTAGGATCCCCCATTGCTCAATTCTCACCTTAGCTACGGATCTCTTCTTATGTTCTTGAGTAAGTCCCACTGGGTTCCATGGGACTTACTCCCAGGTAAGGGGATAGAAGAATGCATCCTGTGGTATAAATTGCTTGCCTGCGCTCCCTTAAGGATGAACAAGAACGTAAAAATAATAGCAGAGCATAGTTGTCAATGAATACTGGTTCTGAAACATTGGCTTCCAGTACATTTCCAAGCACAATGTTGGTGCTGATCTTTAAAGCCCTAAACGGCCTCAGCCTTGTATACCTGAAAGAGCACCTCCACACACAAACACACACACCCATCGTTCAGCCAGACACTGAGGTCCAGCTCCGAGGGCCTTCTGGTGATTCCCTCATTGAGAGAAGTGAGGTGACGGGGGCCTTCTCAGCAGTGGAGCCCACCCTGTGGAATGCCCTCCCATCAAATGTCAAGGAGATAAGTAACTATACAACACATCTGTCTTTAGAAGACATCTGAAGGCAGCCCTGTATCAGGAAGCTTTTGTATATGTTGGAAGCTGCCCAGAGTGGCTAATAATAATAATAATAATAATAATGTCTTCAGAAAGAACACATGAGCTCAGAGGTGACCATTCTTTTTTGGTAAGATGGGATGGCTAAGCGCCTTTTCACATATTCCACAGTAGCAAATGTGGGTTTGATAGCTAAACACATTGGCCAAGGATCTATATCCTACCCTGCCAGGCCCCATAGGACTGTCTCTGTATGTCTGACACATCAACTTGCTTACTGCAAACAGATGTTTGCCCCCACTTGTTATGTAACCACCGCAGGTGTGTACAAATAATAACAGTAATGCTAGTAATGGTAATAAGTTGCAATAATAATAAAGCAATGATGAAATGTGAATTGTCAAATGTTTCATGGCTGTACAACTGGTCCTCTCTTTCTCCAGAAAGGAAACCTGCTGCCCTACAGTGACCCCAGTGTGGTGTTTGTCTTCCTGTCTATCTTTGGCATAGTGACCATAACACAGTGCTTCCTCATCAGCACCTTTTTCTCAAGGGCCAACTTGGCGGCAGCTTGTGCGGGGATCATCTACTTTACTCTCTACTTGCCTTGCACGTTGAATTTTGCCTGGCATGATTACATGACCTTCTCTCTCAAAACATTTGCGGTGAGTCAGTGCAAGGGGGACGGGGTGGCGAGGGGAGGGTAGCACCGCCAGCAAGGAGAGATCTTTTTTTAATCTGGTCTGGGCAGACCTTCTTGGACTAATTTTTTTTTGGGGGGGGGGTTGGTCCTGCACATCCCCTTCCCCCATTCCCTAATTCTTTCAACTTTTAATCAAACTTTAATTGGTTTCACTACACCAGTGTAGTTGTTAGAGTATTGAATTAGGACCTGGGAGATCAGAGTTCAAATGACCACATGGCCACGAAACTCACTGGGCAGTGTTGAGCCAGTTACCAACTCTCAGCCTAATCTACCTCCCAGGGTTATTATGAAAATAATATTTATATCACCTACACCCTTTAGCACTTTGGGGGAAAGTTGGGATCAAGTCAGTTCATTGTGTTTTAGCAGGCAGCCGTTATACAAATGATAACTATAATAATAGTAGTAGTAGTAGTAGTAATAATAATAATAATAATAATAATAGAGATTTACATTTCTGCTCCTTAACCTTTAAAGGATAATTCATTTCCCATACCTCCTTTAAATTTAATAGCACAGATTTGTAGAGCCTTAGCAAGAAATTTAGATATTCTGAAGTATATACAGCGGTACCTCTGGTTGCAAACAGGACCTGTTCCAGAGGCCCATTCACAACCTGAACAGAACGCAACCCACTTCTGTGCGTGCACGGGTTGCAATTCACCGCGCATGCGCAAGCAGTGAAACCCAGAAGTAACCCGTTCTGTTACTTCTGGGTCGCTGTGGGATGCAACCTGAAAATGTGTAACCTGAAGCAAACGTAACATGAGGTATGACTGTATACAGCGGTGCCTCGCAAGATAAAATTAATTCGTTCTGCGAGTTTTTTCGTCTTGCGATTTTTTCGTCTTGCGAAGCACGGTTTCGGAAAAGTTTTGGAAAAGCTTCAAAAATCACCAAAGTCTTCAAAAACCTCAAAAAAGGCTACCACACCGCGTGCTATGAGTTGCTCCTCGAAGTCAAGTCGCAACTGTATTAACGGTTTTAAGAAAAAGGAAACAAACTTGCAAGACGTTTCCGTCTTGCAAAGCAAGCCCATAGGGAAAATCGTCTTGCGAAGCAACTCAAAAAACCAAAAACCCTTTCGTCTTGCGAGTTTTCCGTCTTGCGAGGCATTTGTCTTGCGAGGTACCACTGTACGCCTCTACATAGGACAGCAAAAAACAAGTCTTTGCTAGGGGTGAGCTTCCCTTCTGTGATCTTAACAATGGGTAAATGTGGTTGTTTTTAAGATCATTATAAAAAGGGCACTCAAGGAGCACATGAGCTGTATCTTCTGTTGACACAGAGTTGCAACCACAAACTCTGTCCTTCTCAGGAATTTGTGGGATGTGTGTGTATGTTTCCCATAGTGGTACTGGAAACTCTTCCCCACAACTTATTCCAAATCTGCTCCAGGAATATTTGGTTTCGAGATTACATGAGCAGGGCCAATGGTATAGTTCCTCACCGCCTGATTGCCAGCCTCCATACTAAACAGATGATAACCAGATGGTAAGGAACTGCATCCTTTGTCCCACCCATGGGGAACTAGCTCAGGTACCCATTTGGTCACAGCTGAATCGGCTTTTGCTTTTGTTCCCTGTTGCCATTATGGCAGGGTTAATCTTTCCTTGCACTGAAAACATGAGTCATAGAATCATAGAATCATAGAATCATAGAGTTGGAAGAGACCACAAGGGCCATCGAGTCCAACCCCCTGCCAAGCAGGAAACACCATCAGAGCACTCCTGACATATGGTTGTCAAGCCTCTGCTTAAAGACCTCCAAAGATGGAGACTCCACCACACTCCTTGGCAGCAAATTCCACTGTCGAACAGCTCTTACTGTCAGGAAGTTCTTCCAAATGTTTAGGTGGAATCTTCTTTCTTGTAGTTTGGATCCATTGCTCCGTGTCCGCTTCTCTGGAGCAGCAGAAAACAACCTTTCTCCCTCCTCTATGTGACATCCTTTTATATATTTGAACATGGCTATCATATCACCCCTTAACCTCCTCTTCTCCAGGCTAAACATGCCCAGCTCCCTTAGCCGTTCCTCATAAGGCATCGTTTCCAGGCCTTTGACCATTTTGGTTGCCCTCCTCTGGACACGTGAGTAAGTGAATGCACCCAGGATGTTAACTGGTGTTTTTCCTCTGCAGAGCCTGCTTTCTCCAGTCGCCTTTGGGTTTGGCAGTGAGTACCTTTCCCTGTTTGAAGAGCAGGGTGTTGGGTTGCAATGGGACAATGTCTTCATGAGCCCTTTGGAAGGAGACAGCTACAACCTGACAACTTCTGTGTGTATGATGCTGTTCGATAGTCTGCTGTATGGGGTTCTGACTTGGTACATCGAGGCTGTCTTTCCAGGTGAGCAGTAGCACATCAAATCTCTCTCCGTCTTAGCCCATTACTTCCCATTACCCCACTTCCCTCCCTTTGGAAGTCAGGGATGCTGCTGTTTCCATATTATTATCCAGCCATGGGAGATCCCAGAAACAGCAGTCTCACAGGAGGAGGAGCGGTGACAGATTGTTGTAGATCCACCAAAGATAGCAGGTGCAAGAGCCTTGACGAGGCTGACTGTGCTCTGAAGGAATTGTTTGATTTGTTTATGCGTGTTACAACAGTGGCAAGAATAATCTTCGTGCAAAAAATTGAAAGAAGAAGTCCCACTGAAAGAAGATTGGCTTATGAAGATGGTGGAATATGCTGAGATGGCTAGACCAACTCTTAGAATTAAAGGAGGGAATTTTTTTTGAAGAATGGAAATAATCTGTGGAATGTTTGGAAGAAAAAATACCATGCCATGGTTATGTTAAAACGTATTCAGGATAGCAACAGATGAGAATTGGTAGTTTAATAAGTCAGAATTGATGTACAGTGGTACCTCGGGTTACATATGCTTCAGGTTACAGACGTTTCAGGTTACAGACTCCGCTAACCCAGAAATAGTACCTCAGGTTAAGAACTTTGCTTCAGGATGAGAACAGAAATCACGCGGCGGCGGCACGGCAGCACTGGGAGGCCCCATTAGCTTAAGTGGTACCTCAGGTTAAGAACAGTTTCAGGTTAAGAACGGACCTCCAGAACGAATTAAGTACCTAACCAGAGGTACCACTATAATGGGTAAAATGTAAGTACAGTGGTACCTCAGGTTAAGTACTTAATTCATTCCGGAGGTCCGTTTTTAACCTGAAACTGTTCTTAACCTGAAGCACCACTTTAGCTAATGGGGCCTCCTGCTACTGCCGCGCCACCGGAGCCCGATTTCTGTACTTATCCTGAAGCAAAGTTCTTAGCCTGAAGCACTATTTCTGGGTTAGCGGAGTGTGTAACCTGAAGCGTACGTAACCTGAAGTGTACGTAACCCGAGGTGCCACTGTAACATAGCAGCTTTAGAACACTGTGGAAGGGTGGATGGGAAGTCAGCGGATATGAGAGATTTGTTGTTTAAAAGAACTTGTAAAATCTGAAAATGTAATAAAAAGGTTATGCATTAGACAGGGCTGTTGAGCAAAGTGAGCTGGTCACCTAAGGCAGCAGAGGCTATAGGGAAGAGGAGAGGACAGAGCTGCATGTGGCTTGCCCTGTATCCTTGTCCTGCAATGGAGGATGCTGTTCAGGTGCCAGCATTTTAGTAGCTTTCAGGTGCTAACCCAGCCCACTTTTGTGCATGGAACAGGACAGTGGTGTTGTCTTGTCCTTCACCTGAGGCAGTGAAATGCCTTTGGTCCTCTTACGTCACTGTTATGAGGCTGCTTCCTCCAAAGATCAAGGACAGAGTGTTCCTTGCAGCCGTTAGCAATCCTTCCTTTCCCCAGGTCTGTGGTTAGTCCAAGCACATTCACTCCCTTGGCTGGATTGTTTGGAAGCTACTCCATACAAACTACCTTTAGCCACCTCAAGGTGTGGGAAGGGTGTTTGGTAAAGTGACTAGATAATATGGACAGATTGGGCTCCAATCTTTGCAAAATTCAGTACCTGGAGAATCATCTTATCTTCTGCACATCTGAATGATTTCCCCCCAAGTCTCACCCAGGTCATTTTGTCCCTTTTCGTTTAGGTCAATACGGCATCCCCAGACCCTGGTACTTTCCCTTTACGAAGTCCTACTGGTGTGGTGAGCAATCTGGAGAGCAACAGACCCCTTCTCTTCACAAAAATTCATCTGAAAGTAAGCAACTGGTGTTCTCTTACATTTTATTCAGTGGCAAACCAGGCTTCTCTGGTGGAATCCTTTCCAATGGATAAGGCTCCCTGGTGTTCTCAGTTCGATTTCTTAAGACCTACAGCCCCTTGGATTCGGGAAACCCATTTTTTTTTTGGTCACACCCCAGTTCTCTCTCTGCCCCTTGCTGTCCAGCCCAGTGCTGAAGTACCGTATTTTTCGCTCTATTTAGACACACTTTTTCCCTCCTAAAAAGTAAGGGGAAATGTGTGTGCGTCTTATGGAGCAAATGCAGGCTGCGCGGCTATCCCAGAAGCCAGAACAGCGAGAGGGATCATTGCGCAGTGCTCCCTCTTGCTGTTCTAGCTTCTGGCTTAGCCCCTCTGTCCCTTCCCCCACCTCCCGGAAAAGCCCGCAAGAGCCGCGCGGAGCGTGTGTGCGGCGCTTGGGGGCTTTTCCCCAAGGAGGGAGAAGGGCAGCCCGTCAGTGGCGGGCTGCCTTTCTCCCTCCTCGGGGAAAAGCCTGCAAGCGCTGCACACACACTCCATGCGGCTCATGAAAGGGAGCGCTGAGCAGAGCCTGGCATGCATACAGGCTCTGCTCAGCGCTCCCTTTAAAGAATATTTTTTTCTTGCATTCCCCCTCTAAAAAATAGGTCAGGTGCGTCTTATGGAGCAAAAAATACGGTAGCTTGCAGGTATTATAAACATGCCGTTCCTCACTAAGTAGATTTACTTTCCTGTTGCAACAGTCTGCATGGAAGAAGAGCCAAGTCATCTTCACCTTGGGGTGTCGATTCAAAGCCTGGTGAAGGTATACCGCGATGGCAAGAAACTGGCTGTCGACGGCCTTACTCTGAATTTCTACGAAGGGCAGATTACCTCCTTCCTGGGACACAACGGAGCTGGGAAAACCACCACAATGTAAGAGGGCAAAATTGGTACGGTGGGAAAACACCTTCCAAAGTCATGCTTTGCTTTGCTTGTTTGCACTCAACTTCCCTTTTGTTATATTTAGGTCCATCCTGACTGGGTTATTCCCCCCAACTTCGGGCACAGCCTTCATCCTTGGCAAAGACATCCGTTCTGAGCTCAGCACCATCCGGAAGAATCTGGGTGTCTGCCCCCAGCACAATGTCCTGTTTGATGAGTGAGTCACGCTATGAATCACCATTCCCTTCCACCTTTTCATTTGCTTCTTAACTAGCAAAATTCCCAAGATTGTGATGAGTGTGTGTGTGTGTTTAGAGAGAGAGAATCAGCAAAGACAATATCAGTTATCCAACCTGGTATAAGGCAGTTTTCTATCATGCCTAATTTGGGATTCCGCCTCTGAATACAATCGTACCTCGGAAGTCGAACGGAATCTGTTCCGGAAGTCCATTCGACTTCCAAAACATTCAGAAACCAAAGCACGGCTTCTGATTGGCTGAAGGAAGCTCCTGCAGCCAATCAGAAGCTGCAGAAGCCCCGTCGGGCGTTCAGGTTCCAAAGAACATTCGCAAACTGGAACACTCACTTCCGGGTTTGCAGCGTTCGGGAACCAAAATGTCCAAGTACCAAGACGTTTGGGATTCAAGGTATGATTGTATGTATTTTAAAGTTAGCACTTTAAAACTGGATGACAAGGAACAGACAATATGTGTGTTTTTTCTTACCAAAATGTGGCCGTTCTCCCCCCACACCTAGGTTGACAGTGGAGGAACACATCTGGTTTTACGCGCGCCTGAAGGGACTGTCGGAAAAGCTGGTGAAAAAGGAAATGAAGCAGATGGCCATAGATGTTGGTTTGCCTCATAAACTCAAATCAAAGACAAGCAAACTCTCTGGTAAATTTCATTTATTCAGCCAAATGCAACTATTGTTTGCCTTGCCCTGTATACCCCTGCATGCAAAGCATAACAAGAGACCTTCTGGATCAGGCCTGAGATCCATCTAATCTGTCTGTTGGCTTCCAATAATTGGCAGCCAAATGCCCGTGGATGTTTTGGGACTGTAACTCCCACCATCCCTGTGTCTTGCCACATGCAAGGTGGTTCTTTTAAAATGAGATTCAGAAGCAATACAAAACACGAGTGAGAAGATTAAAGATTTTATTCTAAACAGCAAGCAGTATATGCGTACCAAGCATGCTCTTCAACCTGCCACTTGGAAGCCTTAAGAAGTGGCCAAGTGGCTCCCCCAGGTAGCCTCAGGTTGCAAGGCCCCTGCGGCCAATCAGTCCATGCATGGGCTTCTCCAAATCCCTGCCCCAAACCATCCAGTTTATTGATAGCTAGGCTTGCCTGACTGGCTACTTGCAGTCATACATTACTAGCTGTATGCAGATTATTCATTAGCCACCCTCTCCCAATGCCTTGAGAGGGACGCAGGTGGCACTGTGGGTTAAACCACAGAGCCTAGGACTTGCCGATCAGAAGGTCGGTGGTTCGAATCCCCGCGACGGGGTGAGCTACCGTTGCTCGGTCCCTGCTCCTGCCAACCTAGCAGTTCGAAAGCACGTCAAAGTGCAAGTAGATAAATAGGTACCGCTCTGGCGAGAAGGTAAACGGCATTTCCATGCGCTGCTCTGGTTCGCCAGAAGCGGCTTAGTCATGCTGGCCACATGACCCGGAAGCTGTACGCCGGCTCCCTCGGCCAATAAAGCGAGATGAGCACCGCAACCCCAGAGTCGGCCACGACTGGACCTAATGGGGTCCCTTTACCTTTTACCCAATGTCTCACTTTGTCCAAACCATGTCCAACATCAAAGAAGGTACCCAGTACTATCACTTCCTTCCAACCATCAAGGAGCTTAACAAGAGATAGGGAGGGGGAAGGAAGAGGCGGCAGGAGAGGGCAATTGAGTCAGATCACTTAACTCATCGAAATACAAATATATTCCAGATAGATTGCCCATACACCCTGATCATTGACTATTCTGTCTGGAGCTGATGGGAGTCTAAAATACCTGGAGGGCAGTAGGCTGGGAAATGTTGTCTTAGACCTAAATCTCTTCTACCATGCATGCATTCACATAAGTGCATAGCAGCAGTTCCACAGACCACCCCAGGTAAAGCGGAATCGAACCCTAGATTAAATTAGACTGAATCTTGTCTGCTTTTGCTTCGTAGGTGGTATGCAGAGAAAGCTTTCAGTGGCTTTGGCCTTTGTAGGCGGCTCTAAGGTTGTCATTCTGGATGAGCCGACAGCTGGAGTTGACCCTTATTCTCGCAGAGGGATCTGGGAGCTGCTTGTGAAATATCGCCAAGGTATCACTTGCCTTTTCCTCTTGCGACCCAGTGAAAAGTTGCATCTGTATGGTGTGGTGGTTCTGCATTGCAGCCATGTTCTCTGATGTCTCTTTGATGACTCCCTTCTGGTATTGCTGGCCTTTAGAGATTTTAGACCCCCACCTTTCTCCTTCTCCTATATAAGTAAGTTAACGTGCAATTTGAAAACGGATCCACAAATGGAACTGAAGAAGGAAGATTGGCAAACGGTTGGAGAGGACTGTGTCCTTTTCTTTATTTGTGTACCAGTATTAAAAAGACCCCTGTCCTATAAAAAATCCTGGTTAGATGTGTGAGATTTAATTAAAAAATAATTGTTATTTTTTCTTCTTCAGTAAAATAAAGTTTATTGTGATTTTGATAAGACTCCTATTGCATCAGCCTGTATCAATTTTGGCAAATATCAGTAGAACTTCTTTGGCTGAAATTTGTGCATCTGTTAGCTTCATGGTATATGAGACCTTTATATATTTATTTTTTTATTAAATTTTTATTAGGAATTTAAACAAAACATATCTTAAAACATACCATCCTTAATTTCCCCCCCATTTCCCCCCTCCCTCCTCCCTCCCATAAAACATCCCACCCCTGACTTCCCTCAGTTCCAATCTCTGGTTTCTCTATAAAGGCTACAAAATTGTATAGTAATTAAAAATTAATTAATTAAAGTTAGTATGAACAGAGAGCTCAGTCATGGGTTGCTGTTTTTAAAGACTTGAGTCAAACTAGACGAATTAGTGGAGATCTGCAACCAGATCCCTCATTTCTATAAGTACAGTGGTACCTCTAGATACGAACTGGATCCGTTCCGGAACCCCGTTCGCATCTAGAAGCAAACATAACTAGTGATGGCACGTCTGCGCACGCGCATGTCACTTTTTGCCACTTCTGCGCATGCGCGTGACATCATTTTGTGATGTGCAAGTGATGTGCAAGTGGCGAAACCCAGAAGTAATGCACTCCGTTACTTCCGGGTTGCCGCGGAGCGCAACTCGAACGCACTCAACTCGAAGCGTTTTCAACCTGAGGTATGACTGTATCTCCAAAAGCAACCTCAGCCCCTCTACTCTCCCACAGTTGGATTGGGGCTATGATGCTGTAGGGCTATGCTGTTTCCTTAATGTAAACCAGCTTTCTCTAAGCTGCCATTTGTTAGGAACAATATATGGGTGCACAGTCGCTAAACCAGTCTGGTATATTTGGCTTCTTCCCTTCCTGGTTGTCAGGTCGTACCATCATCCTCTCCACCCACCATATGGACGAGGCGGACATCCTCGGAGACCGAATTGCTATCATTTCTCACGGCAAACTGTGCTGCGTTGGCTCTTCACTGTTCCTGAAGAACCAGTTGGGGACTGGATATTATCTGACCTTAGTCAAGAAGGACGTGGATTCCTCACTCAGCTCCTACAGGAACAGTAGCAGCACCGTGTCTTACCTGAAAAAGGTACTGCTTTCAGAAGTGCTGTCAAGGGGAGAGGGGGAGGGGCGCAGTTTGCTGATTTCTTCTAGAAACAATGGGGAGATTTTGGGGCCCCTCAAGTAACATATCCTATTCCTTTAGCCCACAACCAGAAATATTCTGTACAAAAGAAAAAGGTTCTAGATTCAGGTAGGTAGCTGTGTTGGTCTGACGCAGTTGAAATATATAAAAAATAAAAAATTGTTCAGTAGCACCTTAGAGACCAACTAAGTTTGTTCTTGGTATAAGCTTTTGTGTGCAGGTATCTGAAGAAGTGTGCATGCACACGAAAGCTTATACCAAGAACAAACTTAGTTGGTCTCTAAGGTACTACTGGACAATTTTTTATATATATGTCTCGAATAAAAAAGGTAAAAGTAAAAAGGTAAAGGACCCCTGGACGGTTAAGTCCAGTCAAAGGCGACTATGGGGTTGCGGCGCTCATCTCGCTTCCAGGTCGAGGGAGCCGCGTTTGTTCATAGACAGCTTTCCGGGTCATGTGGCCAGCATGACTAAACCGCTTCTGGCACAACAGGACACTGTGACAGAACCCAGAGAGCATGGAAATGCCATTTACCTTCCTTCCACAGTGATACCTATTTATCTACTGGTACTGGTGTCCCTTCGAACTGCTAGGTTGGCAGGAGCTAGAACCGAGCAATGGGAACTCATCCCATCGCGGGGATTTGAACTGCCAAACATCTGATCAGCAAGCCCAAGAGGCTGAGTGGTTTAGACCACAGCACCACCCGCATCCCTATAGTCTGTACAATAATGCAGTTTGATCATAGCATGTAGTCATAGAAGGAGCTCAGTGTATTGTACGTAAATGGTTCTCCACACCCCATTTTCTCTTGAAGGCTAAGTGGAGATTTCAACTCTGGTCTCCCAGGTCCTAGATTGACACTCTAACCACTGCACCACACAGGCTCCTTAGAGACATAATATCGGTGTCGTTTTTGTTTCTTGAGAATTGCATTCCCCCCCCCCTCTCTCTTTTAAAAAAAACACCCTGACTTTGTTCAGATAAGAGATAATTGGATCACCTTTTCTTTTCTCATTAGGATGACAGCGTGTCTCAGAGCAGTTCAGATGCTGGACTTGGCAGTGACCATGAAAGTGACACCCTGACAATAGGTAAGGGATTTTAAAAGATAACAAAACATTCAGGTTGTTTCTTGTGTCTCTGTCTTTTATAATTTTAAGTCACGAGAGTGGTGGTGGTGTTATTTTTTTAAATTATTATTGAGATGAGTCAATAATCTCATCTGCCTGGCTTCCTCTGTGTTTTTAAAAAAGTTTTCACCCTGTCACTTTTCTGTTGCTTTTCCCAGCAATTTTTATTTCTTGCCTTGGACCCAATACCTCCTCCTCCTCCTCCTCCTCCTCCTCTTCCTCCCCTCTCTGTTTCATTTACCGTAAATCTTCCATCATTTATTTTACTTTATTTTTGTAATGACATTTGTATACCTCTTAATCACAAAACCTCCAAGTGCCTTACATAAAATATACATTAAAATTATCAATAGAAGTCAGAGTTAAAAACCAACTTAACAAAAATATAAAATGAAAATGAGCAGTTTAAAAACACACATTTTAAAGATAAAACCACCTATTTAAATCCATGTCAACTTTACATATCCGGGCAGGCTTGACTAAACAAAGTTTTTAGCACATACCTTAAAAAGTACAGTGAGGTTGCCTGCCGAATTTCAATGTGCGGGGAGTTTCAGAGGGTAAGTTCTTCTGTGCTAAAAGATGGGTTCCTTATGAGTGTGTACTTGTAAGCGTACACGCAGGGATGTTGCCCAGAGAAATGGATCAAAAATCCTCAAATATTAAAAAAATCTGGTTTGTGATTAGTGTGATGGAGAGCAAACTCTCAGCAGTGGAAGAATTTGATGATCTCTTGGTTCTTCCAGATGTTTCTGCAATTTCTAATCTCATTATGAAGCATGTCCCTGAAGCCAGGCTGGTGGAAGACATTGGCCATGAGATAACTTACGTTCTGCCCTACGAAGCCGCTAAAGAGGGAGCTTTTGTGGAGTTGTTTCATGAGATTGACGACCGCCTCTCTGACCTTGGCATTTCCAGCTATGGCATCTCTGAGACGACTCTGGAAGAGGTATGTGAGCCATGCGCTTCCTGGTGAAGAAATACCAGCAATTTCTTTTTTCCCTCTCTCTCTCTTTAGTGGTGGTGGGGGAACAATTTGCTATCTAGTTCTCTTACGTATAATAATAATAATAATAATAATAATAATAATAATAATAATTTATTCCCCAGCCACTCTTGGCAGCTTCCAACAAAGTATTAAAATACAGTAGTCTGTTAAACATTAAAAGCTTCCCTAAAGAGGGCTGCCTTCAGATGTCTTCTAAAAGCCTGGTAGTTGTTGTTCTCTTTGACATCTGGTGGGAGGGCGTTCCACAGGGAGGGCGCCACTACCGAGAAGGCCCTCTGCCTGGTTCCCTGTAACCTGGCTTCTCGCAGTGAGGGAACCACCAGAAAGCCCTCGGCACTGGACCTCAGTGTCTGGGCAGAACGACGGGGGTGGAGATGCTCCTTCAGGTATGAAAAGAAGGGGAACCAGGTTTCATCAAAGGTGTCTCTCTTTATAACACCTTTTGCTACCTTTCTAAGCCCAGTTATTCACACTGAAATAGCCACGTCCCAGATATTGTTGAACCATGCATTAAGGGGACGCTCATTCTGGGATTTCCAAAAGCACACTATCGCCAAACGTGCAGCTGTCAGTAGAAGGAAAAGTTAGATCTTTATGTTGAATGTAAGATCAGAATCTAGATTTAAATGAGAGCAGGGCTAAAGCTGGAATTGGCGAGAGAGGTTGTTTTAACAATTTTGGAAATGGTACTGGAGACCCTTTGTCCAAAATGTGTGGGTGAATTTAGATTTCCACCAAGCCTGAGAAATAGCAGCAGTTTTGGAGGCATGTGCTTTCTCTGCATATTCAGGCAAACCCCATCAAAAAGTCTGATTCCCTCACCTGCTTCCTGAAATTATTAATCCAGGAGAAACTTTGCCATGCAATTCTCCCAGTTGTATAAACCTGCTGGAAACTGGAAGCAGTTTGTTGTGGTTCAGATGGATCACCCCCTTCATGTTCTATTGGCAGCGTGCTCTGAAGCGGGAGGGAGGGAATTACAGAGATCTTTGGGGGAAAGTAGGTCCCATTGTGTGGCTAACAAAGGTGAGTGCAGTCATTTCAACATTTCTCCCTTGCAGATATTTCTCAAAGTGGCAGAGGAACATGGTGTGGACGCAGAAACCTCAGGTAAATATGATGTTGGCAGATCTGACTATTCAGACATTATGGTCCCCAATGTTGGGCCTGCCAAAAAAAAATATTTCTGCATGGCAGCACTTCATTTGTATCCATCCTGTTTGCAATCCTTTTTTAAAATATTGATTTTTATTGGAAATTTTTCAGATACGCATTTCCATCATTAAATATCCACCATTGTAGTCATACATTCATCAGTTTCCCTCATTCCCCTTCCATGGTTCTTTAAAAAATTTCCATAATTTCTGCATATTCTAAGAACAAAAAAAAAAATCCCTCTCCCCACCCCCCAGTTATATCTCTCTACTGTGTTATGCTGTTGAATTTACTTTAATCCTGCTAGCATTATTTTCCAAATATTCCACACAAAATTCCACTCCTCTTTATATACTTGATCTTCTTGCTCTCTTATTCTGCTGGTTAGGCCTCTCTCTCACCTTCCACTTTTGGGCTAACAAAATCCGAGCTGCTGTAGTTGCATACATAAACAAGTTTTTCTGGATCCTGGGCACCTCTGCCTCATCACCATTCCCAGAAAGAATGCCTCTGGTTTTGGGGTGAATGTTTTTTAAAACTTTTTCTCCCGCATCTCATTATGTATCATTTCCCAATACTCCTTAACTATTCTGCATGTCGACTATGTATGAAAAAACATGTTCCTTCTACTTCTCTGCATTTCCAGCACATATCAGATTCAGATCTGTTTGCAATCTGTTTTCATTTTGGGGTAGCTTTCGTTAAGGGGCTATACCATTTGAGTTTACCCTTAGCATGGCTGCACAGAATATTCAGAAACCCATCAGGGCCGGCCCTGCTGTTAGGCAGAGTGAGGCAGTCAACTCAGGCAGCTGCTTTTGAGTGTCTTGAGAAGGCAGCAAATTATTGTTTGTTTGCTTGATTTTTGTTGTGTATGAACTGCTAGGGGAGGGAAAGGCACTTGTGAGATTTTCTGCCTCAGGAGTTGACCTGCTTTGACTGTGCACCTTAACCTGTAAGGGGGGGGGACATTTGCAGCAAAATGTCTTGGGCCAGCCTTGACAAGCCCGAGGGGCTGGAGTTTGGAGTGTGATGCTGCTGAACTCCAGCTCCCACCAGCCCCAGTCAACATTCCCAGTGGCCAGGGATGATAGAAGTTGTAGTGAATCAACCTTTGAGGAGGGAGAGGAGGCACAAGTTCCCCTGGCCTAGAGAGGTGTGTCTCTCTCCCTCTATTCAACTCTCAGTTTTGAACCAAGCCTGCATTCATCTCATAACACTTTACATTCCCCTTGCAACTTGAAGAATGCACATGCTACTTCCTTGAAGCTGCATTCTATCTAGGGTTCTTACTACTGAGAAAATGAAACAAAATGGAAGCCCACCTGAAGACTTCCTGCTGCAACAGTTCATTAGTGTCACTTCTCTAGTTAGCGTTAGAAGAAGATGGAGCCAGCTGAACCTCAGGAAGCTAACTCTTGAGCTTTCCCTTTCAGATGGCACGTTACCAGCCAGAAGAAACCGCGTCTTTGGAGACAGGCAAAGCTGCCTCCGTCCATTCACAGAAGATGATGCTTTTGACCCCAATGATTCCGACGTGGACCCAGGTAAAAGATGAAAAGGGTCCCTGTGTGTTTCATGGAGCCAGGCGGATGGGGGCTACTTCAACCCAGAGCATGTAGGAGGAAATCCAGAACTAGAGGGACCCCTCCCCCCGCAGCAGATGGCTCTCCAACCTCTGCTTGGAAACTCCAGGAAGGGAGAGCCCATAATTGGTCTCCCTTTACTGAAGTAGAATACAGTGGTACCTTGGTTTAAGAACAGCTTAGTTTATGAACAACTTGGATTAAGAACGCTGCAAACCTGGAACTAGGTGTTTTGGTTTGTGAACTTTGCCTTGGAAGCAGAACATGTTCCGCTTCCTGTTGAGTGTAAATTGAGACCCCCCGCTGCTATGGGAAAGCACGCCTTGGTATAAGAACACTTTGGTTTAAGAACGGACTTCTGGAATGGATTAAGTTTGTAAACAAAGGTACCACTGTATGTTATACTGCATTTAAAGAGTGAAACACCATTGCTGATAGGCTAAGGCATGATATATAGGGGTCAGCAAACTTTTTCAGCAGGGGGCTGGTCCACTGTCCCTCAGACCTTGGGGGGGTGGACTATATTTTTTTTGGGGGGGGGACAAATTCCTTTGCCCCACAAATAACCCAGAGATGCATTTTTAATAAAAGGACACATTCTACTCATGTAAAAACACATTGATTCCCAGACTGTCTGCGGGCCGGATTTAGAAGGCGATTGGGCCGGATCCAGCCCCTGGGCCTTAGTTTGCCTACCCATGATGTACACCCTACATGTTAATCACCTGATGGCCATGTCGGACCATCAGACTGAATCGTCAAGTGATGAGTAGTCAAGTGTTTCCCATGCATGTGTGAGCCGGCTCTTAGTCCCAATACAGCCCAAGCCAGTCAACAGAACCCCATAAAACCTCTAGCCAAGTGTGACAATGGACCGGGAAGAGCAGTCCCCAATACCTTATCTCTGGAGGTTTATAACTGCAAGTTCAGCATTCCATAAATGTAGGCCAGACAAACTGCATTATGGATCCACGTACAAGTCTGTTACCAATATTGGTGAGGGTTACTCTGTTGTGTGCCTGCCCAGCATTTTCCTTCAGCTACATCAAAGGCAAGAGGAGCTGGCATGCCTTCAACCTCAAAAGCTTGTAAGAACATTTGGATGATGTAATATATTTCTCCCTGCTTAACTATTCATCCTGCTTCTTGCATTTGATGAATAGGTTAAATCAGAGAACATATCTTGCCTAGGGGAGATTGCTTGGCTTAGGGGAGAGAGGGGTGAGTGTTTCATGGCCTGCGATTGTTTGCCTGCAGAATCCCGAGAGACCGACCTGCTGAGTGGGATGGATGGCAAAGGATCTAGCCAGATCAAGGGCTGGAAGCTGATGCAGCAGCAGTTTGTAGCTCTGCTCTGGAAGAGACTGCTTATTGCCAAACGCAGCAGGAAAGGTTTCTTTGCCCAGGTGAGATGGGCTCTGCCTGCTACAAAATGGGGTGGGTGGGTTGTATTTTATTGGTTTCTCAAAAACATTTTCCTCTTGTTTCATAAATGCACCGCTTGAGACAGATTTCTGTCTTACAGGCAAGTTTTCACCCAGGTTGTTTTTGGAATTTGATAGAATCTGGTTAGCTGACACTCAATAGCAGCTAGCAGACTTGAAAAAGCAGAATTGATATGAACACCCGTCTAATCCAATCTAAGCAGGCTACTTTTGTTGTGAGTTTCGTTTGTCATCATTACCACCAGAGGGCAGTGTGGTTAAATGTCTACAATTCAGTGATCAAGTTGACTCAGCTTTTGATGTCAAGGTTTTAGAAGTGGGAAGAACCAAGTCCCAGTGTGAGGTGAGGGGGCATTCTTATTTCTCAGAACATTTGATGTGAACGGCTCTTCCCAATTATAATTTTCAGATTGTTCTCCCAGCGGTCTTCGTCTGCATTGCTCTTATATTCAGTTTGATTGTGCCTCCCTTTGGTAAATATCCCAGCTTGGAGTTGCAACCATGGATGTATGATCAGCAGTACACGTTTATCAGGTACATATCAAACTCTGCAATGGAAGTGGGAGGGAGGATAGAAGTAAAATGTGAACTGTGTGATGAGAACGCCAGCTGTTTTTTTGTTACTGCACTGGTACCTTGGTTCTCAAACTTAATCCGTTCCAGAAGTCCATTCCAAATCCAAAGCATTCCGAAACCAAGGCATGCTTTACCACATAAAGTAATGCAAAATGGATAATCAATTCCAGACTTTTAAAAACAACCCCTAAAACAGCCATTTAACATGAATTTTACTATGTAGCGAGACCGTTGATCCATAAAATGAAAGCAATAAATAATGTACTGAAGTCACACAATCAATCAATCAGTAGCTGAACTGGGTTCCACACAATCACAAAAATGAAAACAAAAGATCCACAAAAATGCGAAATAAATAGCAAAAACAGACCGACCTCAGCATAACACTCAAAACGGAAGCGTGGCACTCAAATTGGAAGTGTAACTCTCAAAACGGAGCATGTTCGGCTTCCGAAAAAAGTTTGCAAACTTACTTCCGGGTTTGCAGTGTTTGGGTTCCAAGTTGTTTGAGTCCCAAGGCATTTGAGAACCAAAGTGCCACTGTATTACCCAAATAAAATTTGTGCCATTCCAAACAATAAAAGTATTAACAATAAAGCACAGATACTGTTGCTTGAAGCAAAGACTTCATCTCCCTGAACGCTTCTCTCTTCCTATGCCTCAGTGTGTTGGTTGCTTTCTCTGCCTGCACTGTAGTTCAGGCCCCTGATGGTGTCTTTGGTGTCCCATAGCAATGATGCTCCAGAAGACACAGGAACCCAGAAGCTTTTGGATGCTCTCCTCAACAAACCTGGTTTCGGTACCCGCTGCATGGAAGGATACTCCATTCCGTAAGTGGGATCTTTGCAAAACCCTTGTGGAAAGTGGGGGTTGGAGTTGGAGGTGAAGTCCGCTCCCTTTCCTTAACGCCTCTCTTTGAAGTTATTGTTAAGGCTGCGTGTGTGTATATCCTGATTCTGTGGGAGCTGCTGAAGGTGGCGTTGACTGCAGAATGCAGCTTATGAAAAAGATCTCTGTTTGCGACTTTAGCCTATCAGTTACAATATGCTGGGAAGTGCATGCTATGGGGAAATCCTGATAAAATCTCAGCAGCCCAGAGAAGTCGCTGAATAGGGTCAGATCTACACTCATCATTTACAAAGTTAAAAATGCGTCACTAAAATGTGACAGCAGAGGGCGCTTCAGAGCAGCAAGCCACCAGCAATGGAAAACTGCCATTAAGAGTTATAGAACATTCTGTTAACAATGTTTAGAAGATCAATATACCTCATGTTACATCTGCTTCGTGTTACGTTCTTTCAGGATACGTCCTCTGGCGACCCAGAAGTACCCGAAAGGGTTACTTCCAGGTTTTGCTGCTTGCGCATGCGCAGAAGCGCAAAATGACGTCACACACATGCGCAGAAGGGGCAAATCGCAAGCCACACGTGCGCAGATGCGCCACTGAGGGTTGCGTTCTTTTAATGTTGTGAACAGGCCTCCAGAACGGATCCCGTTCACAACCAGAGGTACCACTGTAGATCCAGCCTAGGCTTCCAGTATTTTAAAGTGGGGCTTCAGTGCCCTGTCCCTTCTGAACACTCATCACATCACAGCATCGTAACTATCACCTGAAGCATGATACCGTTCCTGAAGTTATAAGTTGGGCGAACCATAAACACAACAACAATTGTTATTTTTATTATAACCCATTTCCTCTCAACCTTAATCTACTTAAAGTGCAACTTAAAAGTGGGACAGATGGACTGACCACAACAGCCAGTGTGGTGTGGTGGTTAAGAGTGGTAGACTCGTAATCTGGTGAACCAGGTTCGCTTCCCCGCTCCTCCACATGCAGCTGCTGGGTGACCTTGGGCTAGTCACACTTCTCTGAAGTCTCTCAGCCCCACTCACCTCACAGAGTGTTTGTTGTGGGGGAGGAAGGGAAAGGAGAATATTAGCCGCTTTGAGACTCCTTCGGGTAGTGATAAAGCGGGATATCAAATCCAGCTGCTAGCGCATAGCAGGTGACAAAGACAACCTGGTGGACGATATGATTACTGAAACTCTTCGATGTTGACTCTGCCCTTCTGCCTTTTTTCTGTGCAGGAATACTCCTTGCTCAGTAGGCGAAGAGGGCTGGACCACTGATCCTGTGCCTGAGGAATTGATGGAAATCTTCCAGAACGGCAATTGGACTATGGAGAACCCCTCCCCATCGTGCGTCTGTAGCAACGAGAAGGTGAAGAAGATGCTCCCAGTTTGCCCAGCAGCAGCTGGTGGCCTCCCTCCTCCCCAGGTAAAAAATACTTTGGTATGTAGAAAAGACTAGGTACAGGGGGCTTTTGTGTGTAAAGTTACATATGCTTTTTATGTACAATTGTAAGCTGCCCTGGTTTTTTAATAAATGAATCAGCAGCATATAGATATCTTTTTATAAACAAATAATAAAATAAACACTTTCTGCCAACACTTAACAAAGCACACCAAGCAACTCCAAACATCCAATGATGATAATAATGAAGTATAACATATGTTTATATATTCAAGAGTAACGTTTTTAGTCTGAATAAAAGAGGCTTTTGAGCTATTGACAATAACTAGTCGAAACACTCTCACCGGATCCAGTACGATTCCAGAGTGAAGGATCAGCCTCTATAAGTGCAGCAAGAACTGAACCTTCCTGTGGGCACCTAACATGTGTTTTTAGATATGCCATGGTGCCTTTGTCTAATTTTCTCATTATGGCTATATCTTGTTTTAATCAGCCATGAGCTGATTAAATTCCATCAGGTTTCCACACAAAAGCTCTATGTTTCTTCATAGCTTTAGATTGGGGGTAGACCAAATGAATGACATACAGCATTCGAGGTATTTCATAGCCAATAAAACCCTTGATTTATCTTTTCGGTTTCTTCTTTCCCCCGCATTGGCCACAGAGAGTACTGAACACTACAGATATCCTGCAAAACCTGACAGGTCGCAACATTTCTGATTACCTGGTGAAGACCTATGCACAGATCATCGGGAAAAGGTACCTGATGTGCAGTATGCTTTAACAACATGATGTCCTCCCAGTTGTTTTTGGACTCCCATCTCCAATTACCCCAGCCTGTCAGGGAGGATGGAAGTTGTAGTCCGAGAACATCTGGAGGTTGCTATGTTTGTCCCTGCTTTACTTCATTGTGTCTGACATAACAACCCCCTTTTCTCTTCTTTTTGCATTCACAGTTTGAGCAATAAGTTTTGGGTGAATGAATTCAGGTAAATACACCTTTCTCTTTGTCTTTTTTTTGGTGAAGCTTGTTCATTCCCAAATGCCCCACTCCTGTCTCTAGTTTCAGAATTATAGGAACTCCTGAAATACATTTGCAGGATTAGATCATTATTTTTACCCAGTAATTATTCACTCAGTGTATCTGACCACTGGGAGATAATGTGACTCACAGGCATGTACGAAATGGCTTTCCACTGTATGTATATATGTCAACAGGCATCTTTGTGTCCAAGATTATAGTGTACGTTATTATTTTATTATCTCAGTCAGTGTGAGGCTCCAGACAGCTGTGCATCCCAACAATTTAATTTCTTTTTGTTGAGTAGCAGACCAGGATTGCAAACCTGAAATTGCTGACAAGAAAAGCAAAAGTCTCTTAATGGAGGGGGAAGACTCATATACGCAAACCATAAAAATTAATCTGGTTTAATGTGTTCCCAGGTATGGTGGCTTTTCATTGGGAGCCAGTAGCTCTCTGGTGCTCCCTCGCCGTGAAGAAGTTAATGAAGCAATCAAGCAAGTGAAGAAAATCTTGGAAATAGCCAAGGTAAACAGAGCAGAGATTTCTATGCGAAAATAAATGGCTTAGGCCTTGCTACTTGATTTGGAATTCAGGTGGTCTTTTGGGAAAGGGTAGGAAGGAATTCTAAAACAGCTAAACAGTGCAAACTTAGGTACGCAAGATTGCAATTCTATAACAACTTACCTGAGAGTAAGCCCCAGTGAACTCGAGGATATTTCTGAGTATACCTGTGTAGGATTGTCCCCCACAAGCATATTCCAATTCATGTTCTTTGTTATTATCCCTTTTAGGGGGGCTCTGGAGAACGCTTCCTTAACAGCCTGTCGAGCTTCATGAAGGGCATGGACACGAATGATAATGTAAAGGTAATTCCACCTGCTTGTTCTGTATCCTAGTAGCCCAGCTGCAAGTTGTTCTTGAATGTCCACAGAGGCTTCTCTCAAAGTTTAACAGCTAAGAATAAAATAAAATCGAAGGCATGCTTCACTGAGACACCCAGAAGCCTTTCCTCTTACTATGTTTGAAATTAACCTGGTAAGAGAAAAGGCCAAATTTGCAATAAACCGGTGGGGAGCATCTACAGTTTGATTCCCGAAGTGAAGAGCTTCTGCGTTTGTTGTCGTTTAGTCGTGTCCGACTCTTCGTGACCCCATGGACCAGAGCACGCCAGGCACTCCTGTCCTCCACTGCCTCCTGCAGTTTGGTCAAACTCATGCTGGTAGCTTCGAGAACACTGTCCAACCATCTCGTCCTCTGTCGTCCCCTTCTCCTTCTCCTCCATCTTTCCCAACATCAGGGTCTTTTCCAGGGAGTCTTCTCTTCTCATGAGGTGGCCAAAGTATTGGAGCCTCAGCTTCACGATCTGTCCTTCCAGTGAGCACTCAGGGCTGATTTCCTTAAGAATGGATAGGTTTGATCTTCTTGCAGTCTGCGTTACTCTTCGTTAATTCCACTGTGCACCCTTTCCAGGTGTGGTTCAACAACAAAGGCTGGCACGCCATCAGCGCCTTTCTCAACATAATGAACAATGCCATTCTGCGCGCCAACCTGCAAGAGGGAGAGGACCCCAGCGCTTACGGCATCACGGCCTTCAACCATCCTCTGAACCTCACCAAGCAGCAGCTCTCGGAAGTCGCCTTGTACGTCCCGGAAGCGGGGGGATGGGGAGAGGATAAGGGGAGAGGGGAAATGACCTCCTTAAAATTAAACAGGAGAGTTAGGGCCAGTTTCTGCTTCAGCAGCTACAGGGCGTGGTAGAAACTGGCCTCTTTCCATGGGTTCTCCTAACCAAGGATGTAGCTGAGCAACGGGTTATGATGCACCCGGTCAAATCTACAAACTCTCTTTTGAAATTTCTCTTTGCTCAGGATGACGACATCGGTGGATGTTTTGGTCTCCATCTGCGTCATCTTTGCCATGTCCTTCGTCCCGGCCAGCTTTGTGGTTTTCTTGATCCAGGAGCGTGTCACTAAGGCCAAGCATCTTCAGTTCATCTGTGGCGTGAAGCCAGTGACCTACTGGCTGGCTAATTTTGTGTGGGATATGGTAAGGCTATATATGTTTCTGTATTATCCCCCCCAACACACTTTTGTCTTTAGAGAGACAACATATTCTATCAAAGAGTGCATCTGAAGTGTGTATTACATGACTATCCCCACACTCTGACCTGCTAAGAGAGTAATATAGGCATCATGAAGTCTCATCAGGCTTCCTTCCCTTTTCTGTCCATCTACCTGACAGTGTTGTACGAAGGAGGAGAAAGAATTCTGCTTCCTGCACCATCTTTGTCTCACTGTGGTTGCAATCTAGAGAAGCTCAGTTTTGTCTATTGCTTTCTATGATAGGGAGAAAACCCTACCCTGTCTAACTTCTAATACTATGGTCATTTGAATCCTTTAAGCTGGAGCTATTCTGATTGCGTTTTCCTTTCTCTCTTTTCAACTCGCAGTGCAACTATGTAGTTCCAGCCACCTTGGTCATCATCATCTTCGTTGGCTTCCAGCAGAAATCCTACGTGTCCTCAAGCAACCTTCCCGTGCTGGCTCTTCTCCTCTTGCTCTATGGGTAAGGGAGGCCCTTTCGGCTCTGGTGCTGACGACCGATCAAGATGTAGGAATGGGGTTCCTTCATGTCACATCCTTTCTGTTTCCCAGGTGGTCCATAACGCCTCTCATGTACCCAGCATCCTTTGTGTTCAAGATCCCTAGCACGGCATACGTGGTGCTCACCAGTGTGAACCTCTTCATCGGTATTAATGGGAGTGTCGCCACTTTTGTCCTCGAGCTTTTCACCAGCAATGTGAGTTCTCGGTGGCTGCAGCCAGCACGGCACGCTGCTTTGCTGTTTGCTGTGCTTTTCTAAAAAAAAAAAAAAAAATTGATAAAAGTTGAATTGATTAATTCAGCCTGCTCCGTGGCCTTTCAGATTTCAGCACAGAAATACTAGATGGTTGCTAAAAGGTGAATTAGTCACAACTTTGTGATTTTGCTTAGATTTCCTGATTTATTCTAATTGAGAAATCTTGCCGGAATTCAGAATCCTTTAAAATAAATAAATACATCTTTGAGTTGATAAGCGAAAGGAATGAATGTACATTCTGTAGCAATAGAGAAGTAGGTGAGAGAGACTAGGAGGAAACTGAAGTATAGATGCTCAGATAATTTGTTTGCCCTCTATTTTGCTTTAAGGAATTCGTTCCTCTCCTCCTAGCCCAACACTGTACACACAGGGATGTAGCTAGTTCCTTTGGTACCCGGTGCGGCGGGGGCAGAGCGACCTGCCTACGGGGCTGCCACTGCGATCCTTATGTGGGGGCAGCCGCCGCAAGCCTCGAGCGGTCCCCCCCCCAAACGGATCAACATTTCGGCGATCCAAGGGGTGACAAAATCTCTCCCCGAGCACATCCGCTGCTCTGTTTGGTGCATTGGTGATCTCAGGGCGCCCCTCCACCCCCCATATTCCTATGCCAGTGTGTACACAAACATATGTGAATACATACAGGTAATAGCCCTTGCATGTGACTAGAGATCCAGGCAGGACCTATCAAGACCACATTAAAAATGCAGTTGCAAATACCTCTGGGAGTGAAGAGACAAGCTGCTATGCCATCCCTCCCAAGGACACTGTATGGAAAAAATATAGCTGGACCCATAGGGGCAACCACCCTCCTTTTGTACAATGTCCCTGGATGCCAAGGAGCCTAGGTGAGCCTTAGGTTCCCATGCTCCCATACCCCTATGGCATGGCCACGAGGAGGAGATTGGAAGTTTTTGCTTCAACTAACCACAGTTCAGCATTACATCCGAACCCTAAGCTGAAGTTTCCCTTAATTTATAGTTTGTTGGAACAAGCCAGCTTCATATAACCCATGGTTTGAAACTGCCTTATTCCATACAAACCATAGTTCATATTAAGCACGGTTTTGTTGGCTTCAGATGAAACAAAAGCTGTGGTTTATCCAAAACAGAAGCAAAAGCTTCCACACTTCTTGTGGCCATGCTGGAGTAAAGGGAAAGCATGTGACTCTGAGACGCATCTAGGCTCATTCTTGTGTGACATCCGAACCAGATCAGGTTATGTTTCAGAGTTCAACATTGGAAGGTTCCAGTCCGTTTGGACTGAACACAGTGGACCAATTTGCCTGTCAGAATAAGGCAAGCAGCATGCTAGTGAACACCGCCCAGTTGCTCCTGCCTTGCCCCTCTCCTTGCACAAACAAGAGCAACAAGCAACAAGAGTGTGTACTGTTGTTATGTCCAAACTGGGATTGTGATTTGTTTCTTCTGGAAAAAATGTTGAGGAAGCCAAAGTTTGAACCTGGCATGTTCAGGAAAAACAAAGCACAACCGTGGTTCGTATGTAACAGCAAGCCAAGGCTTGATGGCTTGTTGCTTGTATCAGTGGAAAAGCAGAGCTTCAGGGCTGCATGCACCAGCACCCTGTTCGCTCAGGGTAAGCCATTAATTTTGGCTGCCATAATGCGACATTGCCCTTAAATCTGCTACATTTTAAACCCAAAACCAACCTGAATTCTTTTATGCCAAAGAAATAAGTCCTTAATCTCGAAATCAGTTTAGTCTTTAATTTCGGCGGGTGCATGCTTAACTCTTTTTGGATAAGTTCTCTTGAGTTTTTCCATTCTCTGCCTCTTGATATCTGTCCCTTTGTTGTTGTTGTTGTTGTTGTTGTAAATTTCCAAGCAACTGACTGCCATTGATTTTGTGTCTTTAGAAGCTGACCGACATCAATGACATCCTGAAGTCAGTATTCCTCATCTTCCCCCATTTCTGCCTGGGCCGTGGCCTGATTGACATGGTGAAAAATCAAGCTATGGCAGATGCCCTAGAAAGATTTGGTAAGTGAGGTGTTGGCCTAGTGGCATCGTCCTGTTGACATGCACCCAAGGAAACGGGGGCAACTGGCAGGCCCCCAGCTGGCTCCAGCCCATTGACTGGTGTGCCAGGCGAACTCCGGTCCTTGGTGCAGCATAAATCTGCGGCCCAGGCTTCAGAAGACTGAACACACTATGCAGCAGAGAAAACGCCACAAACAGAAGCAGCACAAGAGGCTGTGTGGTTTAAAGCAGGTTTATTCAGCATAGATCAGGACAAAAGGAAAACATGTCTGATCTCCTTCGTGTCCAAAGCGAAACAGGAAACTATACACAAACGGAAGTTCCCAGCATACTGTGCTGGAATGTAAACAGACATGTGACATGCAACAATTCCACACGTCTGTCCCTTAAGGTGGAAAGGAATTCTCAACACATCCTAGATTGTGGAGACTTGGGCTGTAAGGCACTGTTGGGTGGATACTCTGAAATCAAACAACCCACATTTTGCACTGAGGAAACTGAATTTTACAACCTGTATAAAGTATGCAAATTAAGTGCATTTGTGTACTCTTATTTATTCTGCAATTCTTAACCATTTTACACAATGTGGAGGGAGGCCAAAAGAATTATGCTCTTCTCCACCCCAACCATTGGAAAATTTAATTGGCCACCTGTTTGTCTTCAGATATTTCAGCAGCCTTTACTCAACGTAGTTCCAAGCATAACTTTGCAACCATTTGGGACAGGAATGTGCTTTCAAAAGTACTGTTTGTCGTCAGGAAGATCAGAATATGAGAACCAATTTGCACGCAACCAATCTTTTAGGTGTTCATTCTAAGATGTTTTAATATATGGGTAACAAGCGGCAACAAATTCACATTTTCAAACAGTTGTATCATGTTTAAAAACTGGAGGGCCAGGATTGACTCTTAGATCAGAGGTAAACTCAGGGGTTTCCTGTGCAGCGTGTGGGGGAAAATCCATGGTAATTTGCAAATGACCGAAATCAGCATTAGAACATCTCAGATGCCAGCCATCAGGTTTGCTGAGTGTTTAAATTGTGTCTCTGTTGCGACGAACATCTGAGGTATATTAAAGATCAGTACAGTGTGTGTTGCTCTTACGTACGAGCTTGTTGCATACAGTGTTGTAATAGGGAGCCTTCCTAGACGTCTGATCGGACAGTTGAATGACAGCCCCTGCTCTTCCCCATTAGGCGAGAACCGCTTTGTCTCTCCTCTCTCCTGGGACCTGGTGGGACGGAATCTCTTCGCCATGGCTGTGGAAGGAGTCGTCTTCTTCCTCATCACTGTGCTTATCCAGTACAGGTTCTTTATCAAATCCAGGTAAAATGGCCTTTGTGACAATGAACACCCATCCTGGGGAAAGGCATATGCAGATTTTGAGGATCCAAATAATTGGGGGGGGAGAGGCCAAGACAAGCGTCTCTACCACCCCTCCACCCCCCAGTAAGTGAAGTCAGAAAAGAGGAAACAAAGGGAGCAGTGATAGCACCAGAAACCCATGCTTCATTCATTCATTCAAAAGCATTTTATCCCACTCCTCTGCCAAAAATAAACTCCCCAAGCTGCCTACAAATGTTAAAATGTAAGGTGTGAAGTGGCTTGCGAATTTGTGTGTTAATTTCCAGGATGTGCAGGGAGCTGGCCATTAGCTAAAGAGTGAGTTTCAACCTTAATTAATTACAAAAGAGATTGTGTACACCACCTTTCTCCTGCCAACCTAGCAGTTCGAAAGCACGTCAAAGTGCAAGTAGATAAATACCTCCAGCGGGAAGGTAAACGGCATTTCCGTGCACTGCTCTGGTTCCCCAGAAGCGGCTTAGTCATGCTGGCCACATGACCCGGAAGCTGTACGCCGGCTCCCTCGGCCAATAAAGCGAGATGAGTGCCACAACCCCAGAGTCTGCCACAACTGGACCTAATGGTCAGGGGTCCCTTTACCTTTTACACCACCTTTGGAATGGGATACAGAAGTCTAGGACTGGTTTGCCTGTTACTGAATGCATCTTGAATTATCAGTGCACAAACTTAATTTCCAAGTGATGCATTCCCCCCCCCAACAGAACTGGCAATGCTAAACTTCCGCCTGTGCATGAAGAGGATGAGGACGTGAACAGAGAACGGCAGAGGATCATTGGTGGCGGTGGGCAGAGCGATATCTTAGAAATCAAAGAACTAACCAAGGTGAGAAGATGAGCGAGAAGTTCTTTGGGCGTGCTGTGCATAGGGAAAGCTTGCATTTCCATTGCCACTGACGCATGGGGCCTAGCAACCCACCGAATGGTGCTGCTGTACAATTTCCTGCTGATGGATGCCTGAAATTATGGGGCAAGTGTTGATAGCGACTGTGGCGATCACACAGGGTCCCCGGGCATTTTACCGTCTATTGATCCCTGTGCCACCACTTTATTTCTCACTGCCACCACCCTGGCCCTACCTGGTACAAAACTGAGTCCAGTCAGGGTTAAATTGGAACATAAACTTCTGTTTATTTATTGCAGTTTAACAAGCGTGTGGTTTCATAATCGGTCAATTACAATCATGGGGTGCCTATCCAGACCTATAACTTCTGCTACCTGCTCTCACTCACTAAACCACCTCTCAGATATTTACTTGTCTTCCTAGCCCCTAACTGTTCCTGACTCAGCTTATTTCGCTACACTAACTCAACCTACCCACAAACTCTATCCCAATTCACTCCCACTCCAACCAACCACCCAACTCCCAACAAACTCCCCCCTTCGCCCCTCCCAGAGCTGGTTTTATAGGCCCTCTGACTCCACCCCCGGGTTCTGATTGGGTAACCTGTTTAACTATTTCACCTCCAGCACTCTCATACATTAACGTCACAGCAACCATTCTGTGACACCCCAAATTCATGGGGTTCACTCTCTATTTTCATGCATTCCCTAGAATCAAAAGGGATTGCCGCTGTTGATAATGGTCTGCATTTCAAACAGAAATAACCTCTCACTCACTGAATCAACGTATGAACAGGGCTATGCTAACTAGCTCTGCCTCCCAGCAGTATGCACATCAGATGATTACCCTACTTCTGGACATCAGTGCTGCTAGGGACAGAGGCGGTTTTAGGGTAGCGTGACTGGTTCAACTGCACTAGGTGTCACAACAACAACGCAGAACAGAGTGCTGCTGAAATTTGAGAGTCCAAAGTCTGCCACTACTAGGGATTAGTTCAGGCAGAGGCAAACTCGGCCCTCCAGAGAGCTAGTGTGGTGTAGTGGTTAAGAGCGGTGGACTCGTAATCTGGTGAACCGGGTTCGCGTCTCCGCTCCTCCACATGCAGCTGCTGGGTGACCTTGGGCCAGTCACACTTCTTTGAAGTCTCTCAGCCCCACTCACCTCACAGAGTGTTTGTTGTGGGGGAGGAAGGGAAAGGAGAATGTTAGTCGCTTTGAGACTCCTTCGGGTAGTGATAAAGCGGGATATCAAATCCAAACTCCTCCTCCTCCTCCTCCTCTTCTTCTTCTTCCTCTTCTTCTTCTTCTTCTTCTTCTTCTTCTTCTTCTTCTTCTTCCAGATGTTTTGGGACTACTTCTCATCATCCCTGACCACTGGTCCTGTTAGCTAGGGGTGATGGGAGTTGTAGTCCCAAAACATCTGGAGGGCCAAGTTTGCCTATGCCTGGATTAGTTGGTATGGCCACATTCATGCATTCGTCGATCACGTAAGTGCTTTCCCCCCATATACACTTGCTGGGATTTGCCGAATTTAAAAACAAATAGGACAAATTCTGGATGTCCTTTGAGAAACTGAACCGTAGGCAGAGGCCCTGCTACTGATTTTGCCAAAGAAGAGAAATGCACTCGTAGAGGATGTAAAGCTTAGCTGTTGCCAGCTATGAGCAAATTTCTGTTCTTCATTCCAGGTATACAGAATGAAACGAAAGCCTGCCGTGGATAGGATCTGCGTCGGAATTCCACCTGGCGAGGTAAGATTTCCAAGTCATCGTTTGCATGTATTTAGTGAAACATTGCTCAAGATGCGAGGCTCTTCTCAGAGACACTGGAAATCCCACACAAACATACCATATTCTACTCTGGCCAGCCCAAGCTCCCTGCCATGGAATCTCCCACCATTGCTGTAGTAACGTTCCACTCGCCACACTACCCTTCCATCACCCGACTCTGCTCTCCGGCCAGTCCAGGTTTCTTGAGTAGGTTGGCGAGGGAGTTACTTTTCTCAAACACAGGCCGAAATCACACCGGTAGGGCTGCCACCACTCCCTTTTGTTCAGGGGGACCCAAAGACACCACCCAGGGAGAAGAGGGTGTCCGATTAACCTGGCAATTCCCCCTCCCTTACAAGCTGCATCCACAGGCTTGCAGGCAGAAATTCACTCGGTATAGCGTGACTAAGCAGAAGGCTTGGATTTAGCTATTCCCCCGGAAAAGGCACGAATACCAACAGGTTCTACTATAAAAGTTTATTTTAAAAGAATAACTGAAAACATGTTGAAAATCAACAGGCACATCTTAGAAGTCTTACAAACATAAAAATAACAACGCTGTACATTATAACTAGCTGTTACATACTCACAAAGGAACACAGTTAGAATAGTGAGAGTCCTTTCAAGCTGTTGCGGAATGGAGCTGTTTGAAGATTTCCATTTCAAAAGGACGTAACGACGGCTATCGATGGAAGATACAGCCGGGCATCTTTGCAAGTTGCAGAGCAATGGCAGAGAGCCTCGAACAAAACATCCCTTGATCTTTTATCCACAATTCTGACTTTGCGTCGTAACTTTTAGCCAATCAAGAGTCTTAATTTGATCAGCTCATTCCTTTGCAGCTGGGTCAGTTTTAGGTTTGAACCCTTAATCAAAGAATCTTCCTCCCACCTGTGGAAATTAACCAGATCCCCAATTCTCAGCAATTTGAAAACAAACAACCTCCGGGAAGGAAGAGGTTCACACCCCCCAAACCCAGGTGTCAAGCCTTTCATTAAATCAAGGACTCCCTTCCTTCCATAAACCTCTCAGAGCAAGGAGACAGAGAGTCTGGAGTTTAAAGATACACAGCTCCCTTTCCCAGGGTCCTTATGGCTGACAAAGTACCCATAAGACCACATTCTTTTACTTGACCAAGGAATGATTTTTCTAACAATGATAACTTTACTACAATTGCCAACTGCTCTGCCCATGGCTCCTTCTGTTTTCATGCAACAACACAAGGAATGTGTGAGAGATGAATGGGGCATGCATGTGCTGATCCGGTCTTTTTAATCTTTGCAGTGCTTTGGACTCCTGGGTGTGAATGGTGCTGGCAAATCCTCCACTTTCAAGATGTTGACAGGAGATACAGATGTTACAGGAGGAGATGCTTTCCTTAAGGGCAACAGGTATGAAAAGAAATGGCGGCTCCTTCTGCAGAAAGCCATGTTTTTCATGGGCCTTTCTGTCTGCTGTTGCACTTTCAGAGCAGATGTGATTTCATTGCCACTCACAGCAAAAGTTGGTTTGGTCTGTGAGACTAGATTGTGCTGCACTGTTGGGGCAGTGGTATGCTCATGGTTGCTGTATGTATTCTATGCAAGGGAAGAACTTGGTATTGGTCACACTATTTAACATCCTGTGAAACACCCATTTTCTTTTTTTTTAAGAAAACCCTGATTTTCTAGGCTGAGAAGTTCAGCTTGTCACAGCCAGTGAAATCTGGGAAGCCAATAGAAGGGATCAGTAGGATCTCCAGTGATCAGAACACAGCTTAGGCCACAGCTGTGCGCATGCCAAGATTCTGAAGGAGTGCAGAATATAATATTGGGTGCATAACTTTTTGAATGATTTCTGTCCTAGACATAATCCCTGAGAACAAATCCCACAAAACTCAAAGTGGGGCTTGTTTCAGCAGAAACTTGCACTGCATGAAATGAAATTACATTTCATTGAATAAAATGAGACTACAGTGGTACCTCTGGTTACGTACTTAATTCGTTCCAGAGGTCCGTTCTTAACCTGAAACTGTTCTTAACCTGAAGCACCACTTTAGCTAATGGGGCCTCTCGCTGCTGCCGCGCCGCCGCCCTGCGATTTCTGTTCTCATCCTGAAGCAAAGTTCTTAACCCGAGGTACTATTTCTGGGTTAGCAGAGTCTGTAACCTGAAGCGTATGTAACCTGAGGTACCACTGTAGTCCTCAAGGTCCTCAAGTTTGCAAGACCATAACTTGCAACTGTAGTTGCTAAAAGTTTAGGAGCCTGGAGGATGGCTGAATAAGATTTTCAGTTGTGGCTTTTGGTACTGTGCACAACTCCTGCTCCTCCCTATGGCTAGAAAAACTAGGGTTAAGCAAATTTGCTTTCACTTCCTGATTTGAATTTTGTAATGTTTGGCAGCTCTGTTCATTAACATGAGCCAGAAGGAAAAGCATAGAATTCAACGCCATGATACAAACTCTGTATTGAAATGCACCATTTCCAAAAGTCTTGATTGACATTAGCAAGGTTGTTGCCAGCGGCACAATTTTGCTGAACAGTCTGTTTAGCACTTTCAATACATCCTTTTAAAATTCTAACTTAATTCCGTGTAGTGGTATTATTTTTTTGCATTAGCTGTCAACGTCTGACAATTCCCAATTGGTTGGTGCACCACAACCCACCCTGTGCTAAACCACTAGCAAAACGCTCAGGATCTGCATCTTCTCTCATTGCAGTATTTTGTCTAACATCCAAGACGTCCACCAAAATATGGGATACTGCCCTCAGTTCGATGCCATAAACGAGCTGCTGACGGGGAGAGAACACCTGGAATTATTTGCACTCTTAAGAGGCGTCCCTGAGAAAGAAGTCTGCAAGGTAAAAAAAATCAAGGCGGCAGGAGAGGGACCACCAGTGCTAATTATTGCAACAAACTCCATAGGGTTGGTGATGAAGGGGAGGGAGCAAAGGGGGCATTTATCTCTGTTTGCTTTAAAGCATTCAGGTAGGTAGCCATGTTGGTCTGACGCAGTCGAAATAAATAAAAAATTGTCCAGTAGCACCTTGTTATTGTTGTTGTTTAGTCCGACTCTTCGTGACCCTATGGACCAGAGCATGCCAGGCACTCCTGTCTTCCACTGCCTTCCGCAGTTTGGTCAAACTCATTCTGGTAGCTTCGAGAACACTGTCCAACCATCTCGTCCTCTGTCGTCCCCTTCTCCTTCTCCTCCATCTTTCCCAACATCAGGGGCTTTTCCAGGGAGTCTTCTCTTCTCCTGAGGTGGCCAAAGTATTGGAGCCTCAGCTTCAGGATCTGTCCTTCCAGTGAGCACTCAGGGCTGATTTCCTTAAGAATGGATACGTTTGATCTTCTTGCAGTCCATGGGACTCTCAAGAGTCTCCTCCAGCACCATAATTCAAAAGCATCACTTCTTTGGCAATCAATTCTTCGGCACCTTAGAGTAGCACCTTAGAGACCAACTAAGTTTGTTCTGGGTATAAGCTTTCGTGTCTGCATGCACATAAAAGCTTATACCTAGAACAAACTTAGTTGGTCTCTTACTTTATTTATTTAAAGTAAATAATTTCTTTATTTACTTTAAAACATTTCTATCTTGCTTCACCAGAAGCATGTGGTGGCTTGCAACAATGATCTAAAGCAATAAGTAAGTGCACACACAATAGGAATGTTTGCAAAACAACAATGCGGCAGCAAAGCCCACTTGGCATAACATTCTGGCTGTGCCATCAGCTCCCTTTGACTGGATATAGACAGTCATGTTTTTCAGAGGATCAAAGGCAGCTTGAAAAAGAGGCACCCACTTATTATGATGTACAGCAAGCCACTTACGCAACACTGGGCGTTTTTTGAATTGTTTCCAACTGAACAGAGGCAGAAGAGGGTAAATAGGAAGGTGCAAATACACCGTGGGAAGTGAACTGAGCCACTTTCAACTTTCTTTAGAAACAAAACTATTGCCAAGTCTCCAACCTTAAAGAACCTGGAGGTGCTTCAGCCTCATTTGCTGTGCTGAATGGCCTGGAATATATAACAGACAGATAACACTAGGTAGGACTCTGGAGTCGCAAACAGCAGCTTTTTAAAGCTGCACAGAGCCTTGAGGTTGTTCTTCTCTGTTCATGTTGCCCTCCTATCTGGTAGGTTGGTGAATGGGCTGTTCGCAAACTGGGACTCGTGAAGTATGCAGAAAGATGCGCCGGCACCTACAGCGGTGGGAACAAGCGCAAGCTGTCAACTGCCATGGCCCTAATCGGAGGGCCTCCTGTGGTGTTCCTGGTGAGTAGGGTGTTGCTCACATTAGCAATGCGTATTCTGCTAAAAGGCCATTCTAGTACCAGTTCTTTTTTTGCTTTTCTTTGCTTTTTCAATAACATTTTATAAATTTTCCAAAATAAATAAATAACAATGCATAAAAATAACAACAGTGTATAAAAAAGAGGGGGGAAAGTATCGCGAACAAATTTTTAAACCATCATTTCGGTTGACTTCCCTCCACTCCCCTTCTTGGTTTCATTGTTTAGTACTTATTCATGTACATCCATAAAACCTTATGTTCTTAACAATCCAATTTTAAAACCTTTTCATCTTATTACAATTGAGTTTTAAAAGTTATACCAATGTAGGAATCTATACACAAAGCTTCCAAAACAAATACATGCATTAAATAATTGTCCCAAATTATTTAATATGTCCTGCATAGTTCACTGATTTATTTCGCCAGTCTTCTTTATCTTCTTTGGTGATCTATAGGGATGGGATGGTCTTGGCCTGAGATTCACTCTCAAATACAGGAACCAAGTCCTTCTCTCAATAAGTCCATCAAATCCTGTACATCTCAGTATCATAACTTCAGGTTTTTTTAACAACAATCATTTTCCACATTCTCTTCAAATTTTTATATGTCTTTTCCCAGGCCTCTAGTACCAGTTCTTAAATACAGTGGTACCTCGGGTTACATACGCTTCAGGTTACATACACTTCAGGTTACAGACTCCACTAACCCAGAAATATTACCTCGGGTTAAGAACTTTGCTTCAGGATGAGAACAGAAATTGTGCTGCGGCGGCAGCAGGAGGCCCCATTAGCTAAAGTGGTGCTTCAGGTTAAGAACAGTTTCAGGTTAAGAACGGACCTCTGGAACGAATTAAGTACATAACCAGAGGTACCACTGTAGTCTCATTTTATTCGATGAAATGTAATTTCATTTCATGCAGTGCAAGTCTCTGCTGAAACAAGCCCCACTTTGAGTTTTGTGGGATTAAGAACAGTTTCAGGTTAAGAACGGACCTCCAGAACGAACTAAGTACTTAACCCAAGGTACCACTGTAGTAGTTATTATAATGTCCAGCTGCCATGGGTCAAGGAGGCACTAATGCAGCTGGTCTTTTAGCAAAACTGATGGAATGAGCCCTGCTCCATGATGGTTGAGGAAGGGAAGGCGTGATGGAGCTTATCATCATGAAATGATGCTCTGGCGAGCAAGATCAGAGCTTATTTATTGTTTCTCAATTGCAGGATGAGCCGACCACAGGAATGGACCCCAAGGCCCGCCGTTTCCTTTGGAACTGCGCCTTGAGCGTCATCAAGGAGGGAAGATCTGTGGTCCTTACATCTCACAGGTAAGCGGGGTTGGGGGGCTCTTAGCTGCTATTTGCATCACACAGCATAGTGATGTGTTTCAGTCACTGTTTCATTTTCGGTTGCAAGTGGATTGTGACCAAAAAAAGGAGCTGTCATCATCTAGCTAAAGAAGCTGTTTAAAACACCATCTGAGTCCACATAGAATGGATGCTAAAATCCCTTTCATTGAAATGAATGAGACATGTTTAATTTGGGCTGGATTTAGTGTAAATTGTACAAAAACTCCAGACAGACACACAATGTGAAACAGAACACAGCAGGATATCCTAACAGTACTGAATATTCTTTTTTTTAATATTCTTTTTTAAATTGATTTTTAAAAAACATAGCCATACAAGGAAAAAAGATAGCTTAGTAGTTGTACAGAAAATGATTAAAAATAGCAGCTGATGGTAGCAGTTTCAGACATAATAATAATAATAATAATAATAATAATAATAATAATAATATAATAATAATTCTTAAGTATCAAGGTCTTGTCACTTAGTGGTAGAGCACATGTCTGTCCTGAGATATTTCTGTCTCAGCTAGGAGGGTGCCAAAGACCTGAAACTAGACCTGGCACTGCTACCAGCCAGACTCGGCAGTATTGAGCTAGCTAGAAGGACAATTGCTCTCTCTTTTTAAAAGAACGCAGCTTCTAGTGTTAAAGATTCAAAAGCCTGCATATCCAGGTCTTCCTTTTGTATGCGGCTGTAAAACTGTGCCGTGCAAAAGTGATTTCGCAAACTTGCCAGAACCTTTATTTGCGCAATTTAACTCACTTGTTCTCTTACCCACAGCATGGAAGAATGTGAGGCCCTGTGCACTCGAATGGCGATCATGGTCAATGGGCGGTTCAGGTGCCTTGGCAGTGTCCAGCACCTGAAGAACAGGTAAGCCACTGCTTTATGCTTGCTGCCTTTGCACAGGTGGATGCACCAAGATAGCTCATGAGAGCATTTCCAGAATCTGCATCAGAATAGATTGCATGCAGCCAACAAATAGGTGTAATTGTACTTACGGTATTTTCAAGTCTGTTCTGGATCATCTGATAAATTAATTGATTACATTTATTCGCATTGGCATAATATCAAAACAACACTTTTTTGAAAATAATGATGCTTTAGGTACTGTCAGGGAACTGCCATCGGAGCCAGAGGGAGAGGGAGGGCTCCAGAGGGATTCCGGAGAGCGTCCCGGGAGGGAGAGAAGCAGCACATCTTCTGGGGAAGTAAATCAGCGTAACACCAGTGGAGAAGGGGGGCAGATGGGGGAATCGGCGAGGTGGCTCCAAGACTCCTCGCCGGGAACCAGTGGGGAGAACACGGGTCCTCCAATGCCCACACCCTCCCTGCGCAGAAGGCTTCCGCGCAGAGAAAGTAGGCGGAGACTAGGCGTCAAAGAGCTTCTTTGCTGGAAGAAGTTCAAGAAACGCCCACTAACGGATTCTGCCAGCGATTGAGACAGCCACGGGCGCGTGGCTGTCCAGACAGAAAGGGTTCACTAAGGCAACCAACCAAGGGTGGCGCCGATTTACGCACAAGCAACCCCTAGAACCATTACAGGTACCTTGCAACTTCATAAACAAAAACAGTTAGGAGAAAAGGCCATCATTAATGTGTGTGTCCCCCCCCCTCGTCTCACACCAGAACCAAATAGCTTCAAAAATTAACCTGGTTGTCCTTACCTCGCTGTCCTGCCATTTTAAAATTAGCCCTGGTTGATTAGTAATCAATTTAAACTTGGGGAGGCATGCTATGCCCACTTTGAACTTCCCTTGAACTTAAGCAGTTTGCTTCTCAGTACAGTGGTACCTCGGTTTAAGAACAGCCCTGTTTACAAACTATTCGGTTTACGAACTCTGCAAAACCAGAAGTAGTGTCCCGGTTTGCAAACTTTACCTTGGTCTACAAACAGAAGCTGAACAGTGGAAGGGCACCGGCGGTGGGAGGCCTCATTAGGGAAAGCACATCTTGGTTTATGAATGGCTTCGTTTTAAGAACGGACTTCCAGAACAGATTAAGTTCGTAAACTGAGGTATCACTGTAGATATGTTGTACGGTCATACCTCGGGTTGAATGTGCTTTGGGATGAGTGCATTCGAGTTGCGCTCCCCAGCAACCCAGAAGTAACGGAGCGTGTTACTTCCGGGTTTCACCGCTTGCACATGCGCAGACGCTCAAAATGACGTCACACGCATGCGTCACTAGTTACGTTTGCTTCTAGATGTGAACGGGGCTCCGGAACGGATCCCGTTCACATCTAGAGGTACCACTGTATACGATTGCGCTGTTGGTTGATTAGCCTAAAAGTTAAATCAGTTGAAGCTCTCCTGCATAGTCTTGTGTTCATTCTACTTCTGTTAAGATCTTTACCAAACACCTACTGTGTTTTTAAGCTACAGGAATTAAAAAACGCTCCATTTTTTGAAGGCTACTCTGTTGAAAGTCCCACACTTTCCTCTGTTCACTTTTTCCAGGTTTGGAGATGGCTACACAATCATAGTGCGAATAGCAGGGGCAAACCCTGACCTGAAGCCTGTTCAAGACTTCTTTGAGCTGGCCTTCCCGGGCAGTGTGCTGAAGGAGAAGCATTGCAACATGCTGCAGTACCAGCTGCCCTCCTCTCAGTCTTCTCTGGCTCGGATATTTAGCATCCTCTCCCAGAACAAAAAGAGATTCCACATAGAAGACTACTCCGTTTCACAGACCACACTTGACCAAGTAAGTTTCTCATATCTTAAGAGCAGTGCTCATTTTGAGTGGAAACCCAGAGGCTCTTCAGTTGCTTTTTGTAGGATTTTTGAGTCCAGGAGAGTTCAGAGGGCCAGACAGGTAGGTCCGGAGAGTCACATTTGGCCCTCAGGCATCTGCCCTGGTGTATCGTCATGGAGATACCACACACACACACACACACAAAAAGCTCCTCCCCTCATTGGACAATTTCAGCCCTGGTCATACTACACCAAGTTATCTAGCCCATTCATCATCGCTATCATGTTGCAAAGCACCATGTGCCCAAACCACAGCTGGCAGAAGGAAGATATGTGTAGCCCCTTTCACAGGGCCTAGCTGTGGAGGAACTCTGGGGAATTATTGTCCCATGAGAAGCATGGGGTGAAGTTCCACACGCTTGTGGCTCACTTGATGACCTACTTGCATGTGTGAACCAGCTCACGTCCCCTTAGAGCAGAGCTTTCCAAACTGTGTGTCACGACATGTTAGTGTGTCTGCTGCAATTAATGAATGTTAGAATGATGCTGGATTAGAATATATGTGGTTATTAGCGGTAATGGATAAGTCAAGAAGAAAAGAAAGGTCAAAATTAAGTGGAAAATAAGGGAAGGATTTGCTGAATAATAAATTAGAAATTGGAATACAGAAAGGGGAGGTATGAGGAAGTCGGGGAAGTAAGTTACAAGAAAATAAGGGTTGAAATTATACTTGTTTTTTATATTTTTTTGTTTGTTAGTTGTATTGTTTTGTTTTGTTGCTATAAAAAACTTTTGAAACTTTAATAAAAAATTTATTTAAAAAAAAAATAGTGTGTCTGCTGCAGTGTGTAGGTGTGTTGGAACAATATATGTCCGTATCTCTAAGAGATACGGTTATAAGACATACCTCCAGTTTGCTAGTAAAACTGAATTACTGTGCCGCAAAATGATGCATGTCTGAAAAGTGTGTCACCAACATGAAAAGTTTGGAAAGCTCTGCCTTAAGAGTATCTTTCAACAGAACCTGAAAACCGGCCTTTTTTTCTGTACGCATTTAAATGTGTACTTTTCTGTTTGTTTTAAATTTCTGCTTGTTTTAATGTTTAACAGCTGTTCTGATAATTTTGTGTGTGTATATGTTGGGGACTGGGCAGAGGAGGAGGAAGGGTGGAGACCGTCTCCCCATCCTGACCCTTCCAGGGAGGAGGAAGAGGAAGACAGTCTAGATTTACAACAGGGGTTTGCGGGAGGTCACAGCTCAGAGGCAGATGAGGGGGAAAGTTGGAAAGTCAAGGGAGAGCCAGAACAACAACACCCAGCAGACACATTGTCATTAGAAAACATTCCAGACCCTCCATCTCCCAGAACCCGGCAAGCCTTAAAAGTAGGAGAGCAAAGAGCTCAAAGACAGAGGGCACGTAGCGGCACCCACAGAGATGATGATGATGATGAATGATGAAGTGGGAGGGATGGGGGGTGGAGAGTCACTCAGGACAATGCCATTATCCAAGAGGCTGGGTTCTATAGCCTCTCTCTGTAAATACTGAAATAAAAAAAGATGGTCAGAAACCTTTCCTTGTCTTTATACTTTCCTGGGCAACCAGCCGGGAGCCGCTGACAGCATCCTGATAGTATATTATGATGGTGTGCTTTGTTTTATGTGTGTTGCAACCTGATCTGGGTTCGAAAGTAGAACAGGACCCATTGAAATTAATGGGCATGGCTAACTTTAGTGGGTAAAGCTTAGAGGGATATATCCCAATAATAATAAAAATGTCAACAACTCATCCTAATCTTCCTCCCTTTTCTCCCTCTCAGGTATTTGTAAACTTCGCCAAGGACCAAAGCGATGACGACCACACAAAGGACTTGTCGTTGCACAAAAACCAGACTGTTGTAGATGTCTCACTTCTGACTTCCTTTTTGAAAGATGAAAAGGTGAAAGAAAGCTATGTATGAGCAGCCCTGTTGCGAAGGGTGCAGCAGCCGTTCTGAGTAGAAAGGTGAAGGCAGACATCCTTTCTGTGCCATAGTGGGGAGATCGTCCCACGAGCAAAGAGACAAGAGGATACAGAGAGGAAGGAAATAAAACTGAACATGTGTTTTTTTTACTAGTAACCATTTGATGCAATGCAACTCAATGCAAAGAAATCAATATTCCATTACGGAGGCAGTGCCTCTTGGAGATGTTGCCTTGTTGTACTGTTCTCTAGTGAAAGACTTGAATCTAGTTGTTCTTTCGTTATAATAACTCTGTGAAATTCTGGTATGGTGCCACTTTCTGCTATGTGGTCTTCTGCCATACTCCTGCTTGTTTCTACTTAGTACATTTCCCGGTCAGGGGTGGCGCAACAACTGCTCAGATGATTCTTGGCCAGTAATTATTTATTTGCCATTTTAAGGCATGCATTGCCCTTCCAGAGGGCAGGTGGAATTGCTGTGGCGCAACATCCATTGCTGGCAATGAGTGTACCGGCGAAACCAGTGCCAATTCTTCACCACGTAATGCATTGTTGTGGCCTTATTTAAGTATTAGCGGTTGGGCCCCGTTAACTACACAAGTTTAGGGGGATGAGGAGGAAGATCACCGTTGGCCTTACCAGCGGGCCGTGAAGCACACCATCTCAAAACACGCATAACAACAACAACAATTCACTTAGTTTCTTATTAGGGTGCGGCAGAATTAACAATCAACCATGGAAACATTTGAGAGGATTTCTGTCCCAATGGTATGGTGACCAATTGCTCGTTCTTCCACTCTGCTTTCGTGAAGCCGTTGCTGTTTTCAGCTTTTGTTAAGAACCAAGTTTGAGATGTCTGTTTTCATTGCAACAGTATTATTTAAATGTGACCTGGCACATTCTGGGGATACATGGAGATGCTGTCACACCTCCCTCGTCCCAAAGTATCAAATCACTTTCAGTCTTGGGTCGATATTACGCCAAGTGTCTAGAACCTAGATTCATTTGTACAAACAGTCACATTTCTTTTTCTAGTCTAGCAATCCTTTCCCCAGTTTCGGTAATCATACAATGTACTGTGATAGGTTTTCCCACGTTAGAAGTCAAGCTGCTACCACTTTTGCAGTCCTGTCATCTATCCCATCCCAGTTTAGGCATGGCAATCCCAGGCAAAAAGTTTACTAGACTGAATCAACTGAAAAATATGATGTTGGATCTTTTAAAGGTGATTTGCAAAACAGTTGCTCATTTGGGAAGCAATCAAAATGTTTTGTTTTAGAAAAAAAAGAAAAGGTCAATCAAGTAGGTACTTTTATGCAAGGCTAGGCTTAGTGGGGAAATGGCTGTGGGCGATTCTTTGTAACACTGGACTGTCTTTCTTTTAAACAAAAACTGGAGTTTACCAAACATCGTCATGCCTGCAACATGACCATGTCCTTATTCCAATATGACAGTGCAAGGCAGAAAAGGCTAGTTACGGCAAAGGTCTTTGAAAGCAAACGGTACAGGCGTCTGGATCCTACACGTTTATTCAGAAACTGTCCTGAGTGCCCATACAACTAGCTTTTGCTAGAGTATGCCCAAACGCCTCTCCGTCATCCTTTAACATCCCTTTCCATCCCAGCCACTAGTCACAAAATGCCTACAGCTCACGCAACTCAATGCTGGGTGCTTCTCTTTTCCCTGCAGAGGATACTATGAATAGTTAGTACTCAGCTGCTGTTTGGCAATGCTAACGCACAAGAGTGCTTAACTGATTGTACACAATGGTCAGCCTCTCTGGGCATAATATAAACTTAAAGTGCCCTTTTAATGTATTGTTTAGAATAATACTTGCAATTTTGCCCAAGAAAGACACAGTCCAAACAAGAAGTTAAGCTCTTCTACATGTCTGCTCAGAAGTCTTGTTTCATTTGAGTTCAGTGACAATTGCTCCCATGCAAATGGTATAGGGTTGCAGCAAGAGTTTGAAATGAGAGACACGTAGAGAAGACTGCACTGTAAATCTCAACTGCTTGCAAGAACACGTGCTTAACTCTTTTCATGAGAAACGAGTTCTTAGCAGTGCTTCCTGGCAGGAGTGGAGATCCAGACTAGCTTTGACCTCATATTGAACACTTAGCACTGTGTATAATATGGTACAGTTGCCTCAAAATCAGTCATGTTACGCAAGCTTTTTGTGTGGTTCTCCTCCGTGCTAAACATATTGTGATACAAAACCACTGATCATGGAACTGTGTTAAGAACACCTACCACTTCAGTATGTGTGTGGCGAAGTTGTTGCATCCCTCTGCAGTATTCGTACCACTGTAGAGGCTCTTTCCTATCGATCGACACTTTTTTTCCTTGTAGAAGTAATATGGTAAGCGTCTATTACCATGCCTTTCCTCCCAACCCAGTTTCAAACTCCTCTCCCTTTAATACGATTGGTCCTTCATTCCAAGCACTTTATGCTAGCTGTAATGGGATCTATTTTTGCACTGGAATACCCCGTTAACTTTGCAAAAAATCTAGAGCATTTTCCCTCACACACAAATTAAGTTAATCTTTTCAATGGACATTTTCATGAAAAACGAATATATATTTGTATTGCTAATAACTATTTGTGAAGTATTAATAGGCATTTGTTAATTGCCTTGTATCGAGCATAAAAAATAAAGTGTTGCTGGTCTACAATTGTGCATTTACTATTAAGACTACTGCACGAATCTGTTGCCAAGTTAGAAATCATTTCCAAGTTTACTGGTAAAAAGTGATGTTCAAAGAATCTGCCACCCCATTGCCATTTGAAGTGGCAACAGTCCAAAAATTCATTTACGCATCATTAAGTAGCTCAGCACCTAAAGACGATGGATCTCAGCCGCTGCATTCTCCCTTGTGAAGTCTGTAAATGAACTCTTCTTGCATCTGCAAAAAAAACCCCACCCTTGGGTTTTTAAAATAACTTTACCACCCTGACTTAACTGAAGATAGCCACTTCAGTAAGGATGCTATGTTTAAAGCTACGTCTAAAATCTGAAGCGCCAGAAGCAATTAAAACAGAAGCAAGACCACAGTAGTATGTATAAACGTCCAAAAAAGGGTCATTTTTAATGTTCACATTTCCACATTCACGTCCCAGGTTTTGAGATTATTGTTCCAGGTGTGCAAGCATATGCAAGGGAGATGAATGAACAGCAGCACTTCCAGAAATAACAAGTTAATTCACAGTTTCAGCAATTTAGCAAGCCAGCGAGAGCTCCATGCTCATGAAATGAACGAGGTGAACTTTTACATGTATTGTAAAGGTAATAAAAGCCAGCCTGGACCCTAAACAGAAACTGACAGATGAGTTCCCATGTTACATTTAAAAACGTGTGTGTTTTGTGTGTGTGTGTGTGTAGGGGAGAAAGTCATCTTCATGGTTTCTTATTCACTCAACCACTATGTAAACTGCACTTAACAAGGGTTCCTCTGACCCAGTTTTAGTTCCAGCTGCAGCCAGGCAGTTAATGAGAAATCTAAAAACTACATTGCTTAGGCCAGCATTGGAAATTTATATCATCATAGGCAAACAGATCTCACCGCTGGGCTGATGCAGCTTTTGAGCTTTAGAACCGCCGAGGTGGAAACTGTAGGGCTTGTGGAACTGAAAAAAAGAAAGAATTCACTACTCTTGATGTTTCCTATTCTTCCCGTTTTGCTCTGTGTGCATAGTTTGAAAGCCTGCAAATAGGGTTTGACTAAAAGAAGCATGCAGACTGTGGGGAAAAGACTGTGTGTCTCTTAAATGACTTTTTAGCTCTCATAGGGCACAATAGCATGTACTCTTCCCCACTGCAGGTAGAGAGTCCACCCATGCAAAAGGAGCTCCACTCTGGAATCCCTCCTCTGATAGGCAATGGAAGGCAGTAAGGTTAAAGCGAAGTCATGATGGGATGAACAAAGGGGAAGCTTTGGTTGCAAAGCTGCTTTGTTCCCCAGACATGACCCCCAGAATAGGAAGGAAGCTCTGCTAGCTGTAGAGTTTGCATAACTTGTCTTCCCACTGAAACAAGTTTGGGAGTGTGGAGAAAAAAGGCAGGGGGGAAATATATAGCAGCCTCACCTTCTGCTTTGACCAGCACAAGGCTGACAGGGTTTACAAAGCAGCGTTTCCCTGGCAGGGTTTACAAAGCGGCGTTTCCTCTGCTTTAGACTCTCTTCCCCAGACTTCCCTGACCATTTATTCCCAACACCAGACCACTTTTACATCACTGTCCCGTTGTCACAACTCGTAGCTATGCTAGCAGCACAGCCCTCGTGCAAAGAAGTTATGAGAACCAATTTTTATATATAGTTTAGTAAGCTCTGAATTCTCGTTTAGTGGGTGGGTCGTGCCCTCTGCCATCATGCATTGCAATTCCAACAAGGCGAGAGGTGTGTTGCTGCAAGCAGGAAGAAAAGATGGGAGACTGGGTTTGCACCAAGCCTTGTAAACAGGCAGCAGTAAGGCTGCATTAGGACAGCACTTAAAAGTCTGTGGTTTGTTTTTGTTTTCAAGAAAACCGCCATTAGTAGGTATAGAAAACTATTTCAGGGGTGAAAATGCTGTAGGTACCAGGAGACAGTTCTGCTGCGATTCCAGGAACTGAACACTTTCCCGAACTGAAAATAAATTAAACAGATAGTTAAAAAGAGACGGAGGGAGGGAGGGAGGACTTAAGCAATACTGGGGTTTTGATTTAAAGGATGGTAAAAGGAAAAAAGAAAGAGAAACCTTTCATTTACCTGCTGCTACTACTCTGGGATCCTCATGGGCAGAGTGTCTTCCAGCAGCGCGACAGTCTGAGTTTTCATTCCACCAAAGCACATGAACTAGGAAGAAAAAGCTACAGCTAAATTATGTTGTGAATTAAATGCCTGCCTATCTCTTTCTGTTTTGCTGGGAAAGCCTGTGCTCCAGATAAGGAAAGCATCATTCACAAAAGTGTTTTGCTGAAAGGGATTCTTTCAGAAAGCTGTGCTTATGCAGTGCAGTTAGTGTGGTGCAGTGGTTAGAGCGTTGGACTAGGACCTGGGAGACCAGGGTTCAAATGCCCACTTGGCCACTGGGTGACCTTGGACCAGCCATGGATTTATTATCATAGAATTGTAGAGTTGGAAAGGACCACAGAGGTCATCTAGCCCAACCCCCAGCAATGCACAAATTTTTCGCCCAACATGGGATTCGAACCCACAACCCTGAGATTATAAGTCTCACTGCCTCTCAGCCTAACCTACCTCACAGGGTTGTTGTGTAGGGGATTAATTGAGGAGGAGGAGGAGGAGAACCACATACACCAGCTTGAGCTAATTAGAGAAGAACGTAGGACAGAAATGCAATAAACAAACAAACATTAGTGAATGTTCTGGACTTCACTATTAGTTACAGAGATGTACTTCCAAAGAATGGAATGAAGAGCTAAAATCTGTCGCTGTTCAAATAAGGGAGATAATTTTGCAGCCCCTGTCCAGGTTTCTAGTCCCTATGAGATTCAAGGACGGGGAAGAGCTATCGTCAGTTCCAACTCAAAGGGAAAACTGCTTGATTATTATACTTTGCCAGAAGACCAGCAGGTGACAGAGCCCAAGTTTGCACTGAAAATGGACAAGTATTGTACCTCTGTTAAGTAGTCCGTATTCCGTGTGGAAGACACCAATCAGTTTAGTGTATCCTGTCTTTATGTGAATACTAATTGCTGCTTTAAAGGATTGGCCCCACACGGCTGGTCCCCCCGGTTTCATCTGGAAGGTAACCAACTCATAGACTCCTAGATGGGAAAGAAAGCAAAGCATCATGAACAAATGGATTAATAAGTATTAGGTCTCCAAAAGAACCTAACCAGGGTTATGCAACTGAACAAAACCAGAAAGCACAGATTCCAGAGTACCTCAGTCTTCAACTCTTAAAAAATAATAATTTCTAGTCCTCTGTGGCTGAGCAGGTACAATTTCGTGATGGGCGGGAATTCTGACAAGATCTTCAAAAGGGGAAAAAAACGCTTAGCAGGATTTCAGCATTAATGGGTTGGGGATTCAATGCCCTGCATAACATCTCGCTGTGCCCCTTAACTAGCAAAATAGAATGAGACGTGCAAAATAAAAATATACAGGCTAAAGCTGCAAGCCTATAGCTTCTGCAAGGGTGTTCCAAGGATGTCTGTTGGATCTCTCTTTCCAAGAGCGGAGAGAAAGAGATGTTCCTCGAGGCCACGGGAAGGTTTGCAGCCAGCTTCTCTGTGTTGCTGGGCAAAGAGATGTGGCAAGGGTGTGTCAGGAGAGACACTGAACTTATAGCTCTCCCATTCCTTCAACATACTCCCAGAACAGAAGACATGCCATCTCTGGAGCAGTGAAACAGTGTGAGCCCAACGGGACATGAGAAAAGGCAATTTCCCCCCTTCCCCACTGGACTGCTCTGTAATTGGCTGAATCTGTACCATCAGCACAATGAATCATATCTTTGTGTTGGGGGTTCGCATTTCTGAGGCGCACAAATATACTTTAGCTCATCTACCATTAACAAGCTTCTAAGGAACCCCATTCTTGCTTGTGCAGGTTCTTTGCTGTTCGTTTTTCTTCCTAATGTCTCAACGAATGAAACTGATTTGTAAAAATGTTACATGGGGGAAAAAATACGAGAGAGAGAGAGACATTGCAAACACTTTTGTAAATCAAGAAAATCTTTAATAGTAAAAAAAGGAGGTGAGAAGAACAAGGAGTAAACAAAACGCAAAAAGTACAAAATTAGGCTTAAAGTTCATTTGAAGTTTGGGACCAATATGGATTGAAAGCTTCCTCGTTCTAGAATCTAAGGAACCCCAGCCTTTTAAAAGCCTATTTCTAGTCCATATGGCTGCAGAGTCAGAACACAGATTGAAAACCCATTGTGTGACAGAGTTTACTTCGGGAGGGGGGGAAAGAGTCTACATGATCAAAGATGCCAACATATCTACAAGTCCCCATTAAATGAAATAGTAGTGAGTCAACAGCTTTACACTGTGCTCCACACACACACACAAAAGCTTACCATCCTTGGGAGGGCTGCCAAGTTCACACCAGGGCACCAGGTACACAATTTCGTTGTCTTGTTTGTCTAACAAGGGCAGCATTCGAGACATGTATTTTTCTTGCCATTCTTTGTCCTTGGCCAATGCTGTCCGGACAGCAGATCTCTGAGCAAAGCTCTCTACAAGCCAAAGAGAGGGATGTCAAAGTGAGGGATGCACGAGGCTGGGCTCGAAGGGCACACAGTTGCTGCGTCCCCACACCGCCCTCCTTGTGCGGCCTTACAGAGTTTTGATCTGGGGAGGATGGTGTGAGGATGGTGCAACAGCCATGTGCCCCTTGATCCCAGCCTCGCCAGCATTGCTCGTGACTTTGAAATAGTTAAGTTGGTCCAAAATAAAATGCACTCAATTGGAATGAACTGGGCGGTCAGCAACTGGCGGCACTTTGACAAAACCTACCCTCCCTGCATGACGCTCCTTGGCCCACTTCCCAGTTGCATGGTTGTTAAACAACACTGATGATATAGGAGCTCCTACAGAGCAGCTTCTTCCCATGTTGCTCAAGTAACCTGAGTAGATTCACACCCCACAGGAGGTCCAGAGCAAGAGTCTTAGCTGCTCGGTTACAACCCCAAAGCACTATGTAGAGAAGCTTTGCATACCATATTTCCAAATAT